ACATGGGAGCCGTGTTACCTCGGATGCGTCTCCTCCCTTTCCCTGTTTGCTCCCCAATTAACATGTCTCTCTGCGCATCTCACCTTGGACGTGGCAGTGACGAACTGCGGCAGGCGAGCACGGTCCACTTTGGAGAGGTGCGCCACCACGTCCCAGAACCACTGGATCTGAGGCGACCCTGCTCTCATCCCACCCTCCATGTACCTGCTCTCTTCCAGCCTTCGCGCTCACCTTGGACGTGCCAGTGACGAATTGCAGCAGGCGAGCACGGTCCTCCTTGGAGAGATGAGCCACCACGTCCCAGAACCACTGGATCTGTGGTGACCCTGCTGTGTACCCCGTGTAGTCTGTGTTGCTGCGCAGGTCGTCAACTGGTGGGGAGAGAAGGGGGGAAGGGAGAATAGAGAGGGGAGCGGTGCAGTGTGAGAGATGAGCCACCACGTCCCAGAAACACTGGATCTGTGGTGACCCTACCGTGTACCCCGTGTAGTCTGTGTTGCTGCGCAGGTCGTCAACTGGTGGGAGAATGGGGGGCCAGGAGAAGTGAGAGATAATGAGAAAGTTGGATGAAGGGATGCGGAGAGAGGCTCTTTGTTGTTCCAGTTTTGCGACATCCCAGACCAGAAAGCTCCCCTAACGAATCCCGTCAGCCAATCTCAGGCCGGGGCACATCCCAGCACGTAGAGCACTCACTGTCAATCTCAGGCAGCCCCGAAATCAGGAGCTCCAGCTCCTTAGGGCGTGTAATTTTTTCACTTTTCATCGTCCGGACGGAAGCCCCGTCCGGACTTTTGTAGGGTTATACGTTTCGCTAGGATTCGTGAAAAACCTCGCAAGGCCCCTCGCGACGTCGCAACGGTCCGTACAAAATATGACACTTTTCTGTCAGTTCATCGTCCGTTCTACGCTGCTGAGACCGTCCGGACAGCATTTTCGGACCGTCCCGAACTCCTGCAACCTCATTGGCGCGCGAGGCATAATTTTGGCAACTCGATTTCCCACTCCCAACTTTCAGTATGTGTGTTGTACTCACAGTAACGCGAGCAAGAGGACGAAGTGGGTTGTTGGAAACCTCAAACATTACCGAGCCCAAACTGCATGCTTGCGAGCTGAGCGATGTGCTGGCGAGGGAGGTTATGCGCGTTACTTCTTCGCTCAAAACTCAATTTTCGAAACTGCAAAAAAGTGTCACAATTGTGGTACGGACGCTTCATCGTCCGAACACCATCACCCAACCGTCCGGACAGTTTTTGGGCTCCGTCCGGACATGTACCTAAAACGGAAAAAGTTACACGCCCTTATCACTGAACATGGCGATGAGATCCTTGGGTATGAGCTCCGTCCCTCCATGAAGGCTCCCACACACCCACACTCACTGCCCTCACTAGAGCCCACAGAGGAAGAAGCCAAGCACTCACTGTCAATCTCCGGTAGCCCCAAAATCAGGAGCTCCAGCTCCTTGTCGTTGAACATGGCAATGAGGTCCTTGGGAATCAACTCGGTGAAGCCCTCCATGAACGCCCCCACAGCTGCACTCACTGCCCTCACTAGTGCCGACAGAGCAACAAAGGAAACACGTACTGTCAATCTCAGGCAGTCCAGAAATGAGCAGCTCCAGCTCCTTGTCGTTGAACATGGCGATGAGGTCCTTGGGTATGAGCTCCGTGAATCCCTCCATGAATGCGGCGATCTGCGGGCGAATGGCAGCCGTCATGCGGTAGTCTGCCACAGCGTCCACATACTCATGCTTGTTCTCCTCCGTCACTCGTATGTTGCGACCCCCTGGGATGAGCTCATGGTCGGTTACCTGTTGGAGGGAGAAAAGGGTTGGCAGAGAGGCAGGGCAATGGGATGGGGAAGGCATTAACGGGCGGCCATCATGCGAGTGCTTGTTCTCCTCTGAGGTGTGAACAGTGGTGGTCAGTGGTGGACAATGGTTGACAGCGGTGTACAGCCCAAGTCAGTGTCACATCAGTGCGCTCGTACAGAATGCGCTTCTCCTCATCACTGCTCTCCTCTACTTTGCCCCTCTGCTAGTCACCCCCCCGGCTCACCTCAGTGCGCTCATACAGAATGCGCTTCTCCTCGTCCGCATCCATGCTGAATGTGAGGTCCAGGACGCCACTGATGTCCCATCTGACCCCACGCTAGCCACCAACCTGTCTCACCTCAGCGCGCCCAAGCAAACAGCAGCGCCCCTCGGTCTCACCTCAGTGCGCTCGTACAGAATGCGCTTCTCCTCATCCGCGTCCATGCTGAACGTGAGGTCCAGGATGTCACTGATGTCGTTCTGGTAAGTTAGGAGGAAGAAAAGATGGGGGAGAGCACAGAGGATTTATGAGTGCACGAGTGCCAAACATGGCCATGCTGAACGTGAGGTCCAGGATGGTACTAATGTCCTTCTGAAGGAGAGAGAGAGGAGGGGAGGAGGGAAGAGAGGGGAGAAGAGGGGGTTAAAGCAGAGAGAACACATGAGGGCACCGGGGACAAACGCGCACATGTAGAACGTCCAACATGTTGATGATGTTGTTCTGGTGAGATTTGAGGGGTGGCAACGTGGGGAGGGAGAAGGGAGAGAAAGGAGTGAGTGCATAGAGGATTCGACGGCACAGTGAACACAAGTGTCCATGCTGAACGTGAGGTCCAGGATGTCACTTTGGTGAGCAGTGGGGTGGGGGGTGAAGGGATAAGGGGGATCCGCAGAGCCACACTTCCCCCATGCGCAGAGCCACACTTCCCCCATGCGCAGAGCCACACTTCGCCCATGCGCAGAGCCACACTTCCCCCATGCGCAGAGCCACACTCACACACGCAAATGCAATCCCTCACTCTCCCCCTCACCTCGAGCATCCACTGCAGGTTCTTGTAATAGTCCGGGTCGATGGCCTCTATGTCATGGAACGTGACCTTCACGCCCAGGATGTGCTTGTAGAACGACCGCGTGAAGTGCACGTCTAATAGCTGCCCATCGTACAGTGCCTTTGCCACCTGGTGACAGAAAGGAGTTGGGTTGGGGTTCACGGGAAAAAGGGGGTTGTAGAGGACCAAATCGACCTCAGCGCCCAGGATGTGCTTGTAGAACGACCGCGTGAAGTGCACGTCTAATAGCTGCCCATCGTACAGTGCCTTTGCCACCTGCACACAGGCATTGGAGGGGAGCCCAAGGGAAAGAGGAGGCGGGGGGACGGAGGGAGAGGGATGGAGGGTTTGGTAGCAATCGAGTGACCTTGCTGCCCAGGATGTGCTTGTAGAAAGAGCGAATGCAGTGCATGTCCAGCAGCTGTCCATCATATAATGCCTTGGCCACCTGCACACAGGCATTGCGGGAGTGGTGGGTGTGTGAAGGGGTTCGAAGAGCAATAAAATGGTTCCCAGCCCTCTTGCTAAAAAAGTGGTTGTCTTGTCAACAGAAGGGGAAACCAGGAGAATCACATATGTAGCAGCACATGTGGAAGCAGCATGTATGTAGCAGCACATGTGGAAGCAGCATGTATGTAGCAGCACATGTGGAAGCAGCATGTATGTAGCAGCAGCATGAGGCAGCACTCACCACGCGGCCGACGAATTTGAAGTAGGAGAGATGACCCGGCTGCAGCACACTATTAGGGTTGGGCTGGAAGGAGGTGTCGTTGCCGACAGTGGTGAAGAGCAGAGCGCCCTTGTCAAACACCACACGCGACAGCTGTTGGTACCACTCGCGCGTCACCCCTCCTGCGTCGATGCCCTCCTCTCCCTGGAAGTGCACGTTCAGCCTCCCCCTCAGCTCCTCTGCTGTGCGCATGCGCAGCTGTTGGGAGGGAGGGGAAGAGGGAGAGGGAGAAGGGGTGTAGGAAGGCGAAGGGGGTTTGAGGAGATGGATCAGGTGCTTCCAAGGCTGCCTTTTCATCCCCCCTGCGTCGACGCCCTCCTCCCCCTGGAAGTGCACGTTCAGCCTCCCTCGTAGCTCCTCCGCTGTGCGCATACGGAGCTGGGGAAAGCGGGGGGGAACCGAGGATGGGGGGAAGTGGGATAGGGAAGGGAAGGTTAGGAAGGCAGAGGTGGTTTGCGGAGATATAACGTGTGCCCCCAATGCTGCTCAACTCCTGCGTCAATCCCCTCCTCCCCCTGGAAGTGCACATTCAGCCGCCCCTGCAGCTCCTCTGCTGTGCACATGCGTAGCCGGGGAAAAAGGGGGGAAAGGAAGAGGGGGGGGTAGGCAGGCAGAGGTGGTTTGGGGAGATAAATAGTGTGCCCCCAACGCTGCTCAGCCCCTGCATCAATGCCCTCCCCCCCCTGGAAGTGCACGTTCAGCCACCCCCAAGATTGCCTCAACATTCAGATCCTCTCACCTGGTTGTACGAGTCTTCAAGGATATACGGCCGTCGGACCGTGATCCGCAGTGTGCCATAGCGTGGCTGCTCATGCAGCTGTCTCATCCTCACCCTGAAGTAAGCGCGGTTGTTATCAAAGTCCAGCACCCACGCCCACGTGAAGCATGCCTGGTTCTAAGACGTCTATGCACTCAAATTCTTCTCTCACCTGGTTGTACGAGTCTTCAAGAATGTACGGCCGTCTGACCGTAATCCTCAGAGTCCCGTAATGCGGCTGCTCATGCAGCTGCCTCATCCTCGCCCTGAAGTAAGCGCGCTTGTTGTCAAAGTCCAGCACCCACGCCCACTTGAGCAGCACTGCAAAGGACCGCTCTAGAAGCGCTGGGTTGCCGCGTACGAACGCGTTGAGCAGGCGCCGGTGGCGCTCTGTGAAGCGCAGGAGAGCAGAGGACGGCGAGGAGGAGGAGGGGATGGAGGTGATAGAGGAGGAGGAAGGAATGGGTGCCAATGTGGTGGTGGTGGCAGCAGCAGCCTCTTGTGTTGTTGCTGCTGCTGCTGCTGCAGTACTGGAGCCAGGAGCAGGGGCAGAAGGAGCAGCAGCTGGAGCATCCGCAGCAGCAGGAGTCGAATCAGAGGCAGCAGCAGCTCCCCCAGCAGCAGCACCTTTCCCCTTGCTGCTTGTCTTGTCACACAACACGAAGAACGACTCCACGAATGGTAACAGCTGCTGTGCTGCTGATGGCAGCGGCGGCACAGCACCTCCCCCTGCCGCCCCTCCTCCCACGCCTGTCGCACCCTCCGCCGCCGAACCTGCAGGTCCGGCCGAAGCGGACAGGGCCGGGTGTTTCTTGTACCGAGCCTCAAGCTTGCCACAGCACTCGGATAGGACTTGCCAGAGAGGGTGGAGCGACGTGACCAGGTCTGCAATGACAGCCTGGCATTCTGCCTCGGATGCCGGTCCTGAGGGGGAGTCGCCATCCCAGGCGGGTGGGAGGGAGGAGGCGGGTTGTGAGAGGAGCGAGGTGAGGGTCTTGAGGACGCGGAGAGTGGCTGCTCCTGCTCTCGTCAGCCCCCATGGCTTGCCGCTTACAGCAGCTAGCGCTGATGGTGCTGCAGGTGCTGCTGCTTCCTGCCCTTCCATAGACGCTCTCTCACTCTCCGTTGCTGCCCCTGTTCCTGCTCCTGCACCTGCTCCCTCCTCTCCCCCACCCTCCCCACCATCCGCCCCCTCCACCACCTCTAGCAACTCCCGCGTGGCCGGCGAGCTGAGCTGGCGTGCCGCCTCTGCCAGGTCAGCAACAAACAGTGCGCGGTACTTGGGAACCACAGCAGTAACCAGCCTCAGCACAGCCACAGCACGCGAGTAGGAGGCGTCTGAGAGGCCCTCCTGGGCGAGCAGCTGGGAGAGAATGCGGAGGTCAGGGTGGGGAATGCGGAGGAAGACTGTCACTGGGATGGGCACTGGGGGAGCGGGTGGAGCAGCGGGGGCAGGGGGTTGTGCCGTGCTGGTGGGAGGGGATGTGGGTGTGGAAGCGGGTGGGATGGTAACAGCAGCCGAGGGAGCAGTAGCAGTATCTATTCCAGTTAAAAGAGCGGCAGCATCGGCTGTTGCAGCTGCTGTTGTTGCTGCTGCTGCAGTCTCTGCCGCAGCTGCTGGAGCTCCTTCTTGGGTTTCACTTAGTTGCTCTCTGCCCTCCTGCCCCTCCTGCCCCTCCTGCCCTGCTTGCCCCTCCCCTCCGTCTTCTCTCTCCCTCTCTCCCATCTCTACATCCCCACCCGCAGATCCAGCCTCGGCAGTCCCCGGACCTGAACCACCCTCCATCCGAGCCTCTGCCGCTGCCTCGGCAGGGCCTGAAGCACCATCTCCTGCCACCCCTGCTCCTTCTGCTGCTCCTGTTGTTCTTGTTGCTCCTGCTGCTGCTGCGGATGCATTCTCCACTGCTGCACTTGCTGCTGCTGCTGGCGATTCTCCTGCTACTTGCCCCTCAGGTCTAGCAGCATCGGCAGGGACAGCCGCACCAGCGGCAGCAGTGGCAGTACCGTCAGCGATAGCTGGCGTTGCAGTGGCAGCAGTAGCGGCAGGCGTGGCAGCAGCAACATTGGCAGGTGTGGCAGCAGCAGCAGCAGCAGCGGCAGCATTGAGAGCCTCCTCTGCTGCTGCCCGAGCTACCACCTCCATGAGACCCAGCAGCTGCAGGGCATACACAAACACACGCATAGGGGTAACGGGGGGAAAGGGGGGAAAGTGGGGAGGAGAGATGAGCAACAGCAAGAGGGCTGACCCCTCCATAAGACAAAGTTGACTCTGCTGCTGCGCCAACTACCACCTCCATGAGACTCAGCAGCTGCACTGCCCTGCACGGACCTAGACAAGTGGCGTTGCACGGACCTAGACAAGTGGCGTTGCACGGACCTAGACAAGTGGCGTTGCACGGACCTAGACAAGTGGCGTTGCACGGACCTGTTCCAAGTGGGGCGAGCTACGCAGGTACAGAGGCTGTCTCAACAGATGCAGCATCAGCACAAACGGCACCTCCCCTTCTCCCCCTTCTCCCCCTTCCTCCTCCGCCTCCCCATCAACACCCTCTTTTCTCTTCCCCTTCGTTCCCCTGCCCACAACACCCGTCTCCACCGACTCCTCTGCTTTAGCCGCTCCTCCTGCTGCTCCTCCTGCCACTCCCCCTGCAGAATCCTCTGTTATTTCCGCCACCTTCGCCTTGCCCTTGCGTTCCTTTGCCCGCTCCCGCTCCTCCCGCTGCTGCTGAGCCAAGCGAGTGAGCGCGGAGGGGAAGAGCAGCAGCAGCTGCGTGGCAGCCATGGAGTGGCGCGACAGGTACACCAGCAGCTCCAGCACACGGCGAGAGACGAGGGGAGGAATGCCTACAAGGGAAGGGAAGGGGGAAGAAGAGCATTGGGAAGAACGGGTTGCAAGGAGATGGAAATGAGGGTGGTTCAGGCATAGGAAGAAGCCCAGCAAGAAGTGCCCAGCCGTCTAACCCTTACGTCTTGAGCCCGCAAGGCAAGCGACTCACTGTTGGGGCGCTGCGGTCGAGCATACACCACGTTGGACTAGCAGCAGTACAGCTGGTATGGTGGGGCACCGTCTGCTGCTACCCCACCCGCATGCGCACCCTCACGCACACCCTTGAGCCCTTGAGCCATTGAGTCTACAGCATGCAAGGCGAGAAACTCACTGTTGGGGCGCTGCGGTCGAGCATACACCACGTTGGACTGGCAGCAGTACAGCTGGTGTGGTGGTGCGCCGTCTGCTGCTACCCCACCCTCACCCACACCCTCAACAGCTGCAGCCGCTCCGAGTGCTGCAGGCGTTTCAGGTGCTGCAGGTGGTGCAGCCTGACTGCCTTCCGCTGCAGATGCTGCAGCACCTGGCACGGCTGCTGCATTCTGGTCCGTTGGATGCTGCCCTGTGGGGTGCTGGTCCGTTGGATCGGCATCGGGGCGCAGCAGATCTAGCAGGATGCGCACAAGGGCTGCACGGGTGGTGGCGTGGGAGGCGAGGTTGGTCAGTAGACGCGGCAGCAGGGCCTTTTGCAGCGGCTGGTGGGGGGAAAGGGGGGGCGGGTGGGAGAGGTGGGGTGAAACGGGTAAAAAAAGTTGGGATGAGAAAGACAAGAGGAAAAATGGTAATTACTATCAAGGCAGGCAACCTTGCAGTGTCACAGATTGTGATTGCGGGGGGCAGCAATCACAGAGACCCACCTGGGAGATGCGCAGCAGGCGAATGAGCGCCTTGAGAGCCCTCTCATCCACCACAGGCGCCTTCTCCTCCTCTCCCCCTTCCCCACCACCTTTACTTCCCCCCGCCCCCGTCCCCGCCCCAGCCCCTGCGCTCTCCCTCTCCCTCCTCCCCATCCCCGCGGCAATGAACCCCCTGGTGAATTCTCCCACACCGCCCTCCCCAGCAGCCACAGCGAACGGGTGCGGCGGGCGGCGGTGGGCGGTGGTACCGCCAGCAAGAGCGGGAGAGCGGCGGATGGGACCGCCGAAGATGGCGTGGTGGGGGTGTGCGGGGTGCTGGTGCCTAACAGAGTACTGCTGCTGCATGGCTCGCTCTCTCAGCAGCTGGGCTTCCGCTAGCAGGGCGGGCGGGAGCGATGCCAGCACTGCTTCCGATGAGGTCAGCAGGACCTCTGCTCGCAGCTCCTCAGGGAATGTGGCAATGATAGACGCACTATCCATGTCCACAGGATGCCCATCTGCACCTGCTGCTGCTGCAGCCATGAGCTGCTGCGCCTGCTGCTGTGCCAGCACCTCCGCCTGAATGTCCGGTGGCAGCGCTGCTAAGAATTCCGGATCCAGCTCCCCCGTGTCCTCCCCTCCCAACCCTGCTGCTGCTCCTCCTCCTGCTCCCGCCCCACCCACTCCCCCTGCTCCCCCTGCTCCCCCTGCGCCCCTGGCGCCCTCTGCTCCCCCTGCTCCTCCCCCTGCTGCGCCTCCCCCCCCCTGCCCCTGTGGCTGTGCGGCCTGCTGCTGGGCGCGTCTCTGGCGGGCCTGCCTGGCAGCTCGCTCCACGTGGAAGGAGGCTAGTACCTCTGCCCTTAGGTCCTCCGGTAGAGCTTCCAGGAAGGTTGGGTCGATCTCCGGAAGATCCTCCTCCTCGTCTGCTGCTGCTCCACCTGTGCTCGTGCCTGCTGCACCACCTGGAGCACCTGCTGCTGCAGCACCTGATGTATCACCTGCTGTAGCACCTGAAGCAGCACCTGACGCCCCAGCTGCTGCAGCATTGGTCGCCGGAGCTGTGGGAGCAGTGGCAGCAGCAGCATCAGAAATCATGGCGCCAGCACTAGCAGGAGCTGCTTCCCCTTCAACTTCGGTCACTGAAACCGTTTCTCCTGCTTCTGCCACTCCTGCTGCTGCTTCCGCTGCTGCAGCATCACCAGCAGCAGCAAGGGAAGGAGTAATCCCCCCCTCAGCAGCTGAGATTGGCTCTCCCATTTCCATAGCAGTCACCCCTGCAGCGTCTACCACTGCTGCTCCTTGTGCCGTCTCTCCTGCCGTTGCCCCAGCAACTGCCAGTGCCTGCGTTGGTGTGCCTCCCTCTCCGAGCTGCTGCTCTGCGTCCCTGCCAGCAGCATCACCAGCAGGCACAGCAGCTGCTGCAGCTGGCACTGCCTCTCCTTCTGCGCCTGGCACAGCTGGAGCAGCAGCTGTAGCCGCTGCAGCAGAAGAAAGCCCAGTCGTAGCAGCAGATAGCCCGGCTGTAGCAGCAGAAAGCTCAGCTGTAGCAGCAGAAAGGCCAGCTGCCATAGCAGAAAACCCAGTTGTAGCAGCAGAAAGCCCAGCTATAGCAGGAGGAAGAGGGGGAGGGGGAGGAGAAACAAGAACAGCAGCAGCGGCGGCAGCAGGAGCAGCAGGCGGGGCAGCACCAGCAGCGGCACCAGGCAGCAGCATATCATCCCGCCCGTCTATGCTCCCCACCTCCACCTCCAGGCTCCTCAGGCTCTCCCCAGCCGTGAACCCACTCCCCCCACTGTCCTGACTTGCCACTTCCACCTCTGCCTCTGCCTCCCTCTCCCTCTCACTCCCTCTCTCGTCCATCTGCACGTCTCCTGCTGCAATGCCCTCCTCCTCTGCTCCTCTACCTGATTCCGTACCTGCTGCTGCAGCTGCTGCTGCTGCTGTTGCTTCTGCCTCTGCTCCTGTTCCTGTACCAGTCTGAGTGGTGTCGGCACCTGCCTGCTCTCCTGCTGCTGCTCCTGCTCCAGCTGCTCCTGCTGCTGCTGCTTCTGCCGCAGCAGCTTCTGCTGCTGCTCCTGCAGTCGCCCCACCACTTCCTCCTGCCCCTGCCGCCCCACTACCACCTTGCCTCACCTCCCTCTCCTGCTCCCTTTGCCCCTCCTCCTGCCCCGCCCCCTGCTGCCGCTGCTGCTCCTCTCCTCCCGTCCCCCTCCCCTGCTGCCTCTCCCCATTCCTCCCCGCACCACCACCTCTCTGGCCCCCCGCCTCTCCTCCCTCCCTCCCTCCCCCTCTCCCTGCCTCGCGCAACCCTTGCATGGACTGCAGGAAAGCACTTTCCAGCGCCTGAGCAACAGCAGCACCAGTCCCGGCAGGCTGCGGCAGCCCATCATCCGTCCACCGATTCACCCTCCCAAACTCCCCTCGCCCCGCTGCCCCTCCCACCACCGGCCCCAGCCCACTCACCCCCATCGCCCTCGCCCTCCCCGGATCAAACTCCACTCCCGACGGATGCCCTATCCCCATGCCGCCCACGCCGCCCATGCCGCCCATGATGCCGCCCATGCCACGAGGGTCAAGCAGGCCCCGGGCCTGCAGCATGTCTTCCAGGAAAGGATTCTCATACGCCATCATTAGAGACGCCACATCCCTCGCAAATGCCGCATCTACTTCCATGCCTGGCCCTCCCCCCCCGCCAGCCCCCATCGGCCCGCCCACTCCCCCCATCATCCCCTGCATCCCCGCCAGGAGGTTGAAGAGCCGTGATCCCGGTGCTGCAGCGGCGTGGGCAGGGGCAGACGCGGAGGCAGCGTCTGTCGGTGCTGCCCCAGGGGCGAATGGGCGAGCCAGCAGTGGGTGTACGTGCAAGGGGCCTGCTCCCATCCGGCCAGCCTGCCCCTGCCCCGCGCCCTGCCCCTGCGCCAGCTGCTGCTGGCCCTGCAGTGTGCTTCTCACCACAGCCCTGCGCTGGTGACTCGCTAAGTGCCGCCCCCACCCCCACACCGGCTCATTCATATCCGCATACAGCGGATCATTCAACACATCCCGCTGCATAAACCCCGGAAGGTCCATCAACCCGGCGACATCTGCACCGCCTGCGAGCAGATGCACGTGATTGGCTCCCGTGACATCGTCCCGCCACCTCACCTCTATAAACCTCCCGCCGTCCTCCTCCCAGTCCTCCAAATCCTCCTCATCAGCCTCCTCCTCATCCTCATCCATATCATCATCATCCTCATCCCCATCATCCTCCTCCTCATCCTCCTCTGCCAGCCCACGTGCAAAGTCGCGCCGCAAGGCCCGGGCTGCGCGCTCCTCCTCCTCCTCATGGTCCTCCATGTCTTCCCCCATGCCCATGCCACCTGGGGGCAGATGCCCGTTGTCCTCCCCTCCATGCCCATCCTCCTCCTCTTCATCCTCGTCATCCTCATCATCATCCTCCTCCTCCTCATCTTCCTCCTCTTCCAAATCCTCGTCCTCCTCATCCCCCTCCTCCATCCCCTCCTCCTCATCCTCCTCATCCCCATCCTCAATATCATCCTCCCCATCGTCATCGTCCTCCCCATCCTCCTCTCCCTCCATGTCCCCATCATCATCCTCATCCCCATCCTCATCCGCGCCCATATCATCAAATTCTCGGATCTGGAACCGCAGCTGCATGGGCCCTCTCATGCCCCCTCCGCCCTCCACTCTTCTTATAATCGCCTCTGCTTCATGCGCCATCCCCCCTTCCTCCTCCTCCTCCTCCCCCCCATGCCTCTCATCCTGCTCCATTGCACGTCCCCCTTCCGCCCCTGCTCCACCTGTCTCCTCCCCTCCCTGCTGCCTCGCCTCCTCATCACCCCCTCGCATCCTCCCACTCCCAGCGTCTGCTCCTGCCTCTTCACCTCCAGACGCCGTTACTCTCCCTCCCTCCCCCCCAGCATCATCCATGGCTGTATCAGCCCCACCTGCTGCCCCACCTCCTTCTGTCCCCCTATCCGCACCTGTTTCCGCCACCGCTGCACCCCCGTCCGCTGCTGCTTGGCTCGGCACCCCTCCAGCCCCTGCCGAGCCTGCTTCCTGCCTTCCCGAACCTACAGCCCTGGTTACACCCACGGAAACACGCTGCCCTGATGCCAGACCTCTCCCAGGCTCGGCACGAGCTTCCGAAGCTGAGGCTCGAGTGAGCACCTCCAGAGCCCTGAGGATCGAATTCACCAGCTTCGGGGAATCTGGGTGGTTTAGATCAATTACACTCAGAGTCTCCAGGAGGTTTGGCAGCATGCCCACTTCAAGAGCCGTCTTGGCCATTTCTGCAGCGAAGGCGGAGCCTTGTGCAGAGCTGCCCGGGCCGCCAGGTGGATTGCTCCCATTGGACGATTGCGTGGAGAGCAGCGCGTTCATGAGGTCAAGGAACGACCTCACCTGCTTGTTGGGCACTTGCAGCTTCACAGCCGCAACTGCAGCTGCTTCTGTACCCGGAACCACTGCTGCCCCACCTTCCCTTACTCCACCTGCTGCTCCTGCTCCTGCTGCAGCTGCTTCTCCTGTCAAAGCTGCTCCTGCCTTTTCCTGCTGCCGCACCTCTCCTGTCCTCCCCCCATCCTCCTTCCCAAACCGGCTCAGCGACTTGGAAATCTCCGAGAGCACGCGGCGCCGGCCCTCCCCCGAGCGCACGCACAGCGCAATGAGGAATGCAGACGCCTGGGTGCCCAGCCGGTGGTGCCCTGGGTGGGAGGACCCGCCCTGCGCTGTTGCTGTGCTTCCTGCTGATGCTGATGCGGTGCTGGGCTTGTCGCTGAGGTATGGCAGCAGCTCGTGTAACACGTGGTGCACTATGCCCCCTCGAGATGCCCATGCCGATGCAGAGACGCCTGCTGATGCGTCAGGCTTACCTGGTGAAGGCTGTAGTTGGTGGTGCTGGTGGTGCTGGTGGGAGTCAGGTTTGGATTTGTGTTCGTGCTTGTCTGGAGTGTGCTTGTGTGCACGGGACGTGGTTCCCCTGTGCGGCTGTGGCGTGCCCACCCCGGCTGATGCACCCGAACCTGCACCCACCGCTGCTGCTGAAGTGCCTGCAGCAGACTCTGCATCCCTGCGGAGCACGAGAGTGCTGGCAGCAGAATAGGCCAGTAGGATCTCTGTGAGCAGCCGCAGCACCAGCGTGGTTCGCGAGATTGCAAACTCCGCCCTCTCCTTCTCCTCCTCCTCCTGCTGCCGCTGCTTTGCCTTCTCTTTCTCCTCCTTCCCTGGCTCCTTCTCCCCTTCCTTCTCTCCTCTTTCAGCTGCTTTATTCTCAACCCCCTCTGCGTCCACCTCCATTGCCTCCCCTCCCAGACCACCACCAACCCCAACCTCCATTGCAGCTGCCCCATGCCCCTCAGGCAGCTTCCCAGGTGCTTTTTCAGATGCTTTCACAGGTGCTTTTTCAGATGCTTTCACAGGTGCTTTTTCAGGTGGCGGGAATTGCTGCAGGTATGTCAGGAGCTGGTCAACCACAGAGGCGAAGCTCCAGGGGACCTTACGCACCCGCCCTGACTTTGACACCCACGTCAGCACCTTGCCATCCGCTGACTTGCTGTAGTGACCAGTAGGGGGATGGGGCGGCGGAGGAGAGGTTTGCGGAGAGGTTGCAAGTGGTGAGGAGTGGTGGTGAGCGGTCTGGCCTGGAGCTGGGGCTGGAGCAGCAGAGGTGCTTGGTTGCCCTGGTGTTGCAGCTGCTGCTGCTTCTGGTGCTGCTCCTGCTCTCTGCTCCCTCTCTCCCACCCCCTTCTCCTTCCCTTTCTCCTTCTCCCTCACCTTCTCCTTTTCCTCCTTCTCCTTCTTCTCCCTCTCCTTCTCCTTCTCCCGTTTCAGCACCACCACCTGCCGCCCACCAATGCTCTCCACCTCACAAACATTCCCCACCGCCTGCAGAAACGCGGACGGATCACGGGCGACAAGAGGACTCATAGCGCCCAGGAACACACGAGGGGACACACGGCCCCCATGCTGAGTTGCCAGCGTGGTGAGGCTGTGCCTGATCTCCGCTTCCATAGCATGCAGCAGCGTGAACGGGTCCTCAAGCACATGCCGCACCACCGCCGACACGAGACTCTCAAACCCCGGGAAAATCGAAGAGAACGGGAGGGCGAGAAGCGCCGCCACCCCACCCTGGTCCAGAAAGAGGAGGGCGACGGGGTGCGAGCGGGAGAGGCGGGAGGCGAGGTGGAGGAGAGCCTGGCAGAGAGACGGTGGGGGGTGGCAGCGGATGAGAGGGCAGATGAGGGCCATGGCTTGGGCCTTCTCGTCGTCTGATAGGTACCCTGTTGACAGCCCCACGATCTCTGTGAACCGGTTCTCCTCCTTGCCCTCTCGCTTCTCTGCCTCTGCTGCCTCCTTGCCCTTGCTGGCTGCTGGGGCGGCCGTGGCAGATACACCTGCCCCGGATGGAGCCTGTGACGCCCCGGCAGCAGCAGCTGCACCAGTACCAGCTGGCTCGGAAGGTGCTGCAGCGGTTGCACCTGGATCCGCTGCTGCTGCTCCTGCCCCACCTGCAACACCTGCCAGTATAGACGCGAAGGAGATAGGTGCATCTGCTGCTGCCGCTCCCCATGTGCTTGCTGTCGCCCCTGCTGCCCCTGATGCTCCCGCTGCTCCCGCTGCCACTGCTGTACCTGCTTCCCCTCGTACCCCTGTGCCAGGCACCTTCCATTGCACGAGGGAGTCCAGCACCAGGAACAGAGACGGCACCCACTTGGGCACCTCCCCAAGCCCCTCACGCCCCTCTCCCCCTTGCCCTCCTTTCCCCCCTGTCACCTCATCCGCACCTGCTTTACCCTCTACCCGCTGACCCGCCACCCCCGCACTTCCGTGCTGCTGCGACCGGCTCTTACTGGGAGGTGAGGCGAGTGCAGCAAGAGGGAGAGTCGGGGGGTGGTAGTCGGGGCAGACAGACGAGACGTACCCAGAGAGCATGTGAAGAGCAACTGCAGCGAGGCCCTCCTTGGCTGCTATGTCCGAGCAGGGCAGGTCTTCTGAGAGCAGCACAGCCAAGCAGTGCGCCAAGGCGGATTGCAAGGCCTGCAGCGAAGATGGTAAACCAGCAGCAGCAGCCTTCTCCTCCTCCCTTTTCTCTGCTCTGCAATCTTTACCCTCGCTGCTGCCTTGCTTCTCACTCTCCACGCGGCTAGGGGATTCTTTCGCCTGCCCGCAGGACTCTTTCAGCTGCCCCACCAGAAACGTCACGACAGCAGCCCTGTCTGTGCCAGCGTTGCGCCTGCTGAGTGCGAGCAGGAGGTCGGTCATGGGAAACACAGCGCCCTCCCCCCCGTCCCTCAACACCCGCACTATCGTCCCCAACATCTCCTCCACCCTCACCTCCTTCCGCCCCTCCTTCTCTCCTCCCGTCTCCTCCTCTTTCTCCTCCTTCTCCTTCTCTTTTCCCTTCCCTTTCTCCTCCCCCTCTTTCCCTTCTCCTGCCTTACCTGCTCCCTCCTCCCCACCCTGCTGCCCACCCGCACTAGTCCCACCTCCGCCGTCCCCATCATTACCAGAAAGAGACAAAGCGAGCGCGCGGGCGAGCTCGTCTTCTTCCGAGGGAGGCTCATCTGGCACATGGCTAATGAGCCACTCCATAGCGAGATCTAGATTGTTCCCCACCTGCCGCAAGGCCTCCTCTGCCCGCTCCCTAGGGAACCCCATTTCTACTATCAGCTCCACTAAAGCCTCATCTACTGGAGTGGGTACAGGTCCAGGCGGCATCCGCCCTCCCAGCACCGCAGCAGCCAGGGCAGCTGCGGACACTGCTGCACCTCCCTGCCCCCCTGCGCTGCTCGCTCCACCTGCCCCTGCCCCTGTTCCTGCCCCTGCTGCTGCCGCTCCGCCCGCTCCTGCACCTGCCCCTGCACCAGTCCCTGCACCCGCAGCAGCAGCAGCAGCAGAACCCCCTGCTGCTGCTGGAGCGGTTTCACTCAACCCTTGAAGCACACGGGTGAGCAGAGTCACCACCGGGGAGATAACAGCAAGACCAGACTGGGAGAAGAGCGGGTGGGACCAAACGTCCAGCATGATAGATAGCACCTGCGACTGCATGGCCCGAAGGAAGTCCTCAGGCTTAGCTGGGGCGGGTTCAACTGAGCGGGAGAGCTGGTGGGTGAGGAAAATGCTGGTGGAGGAGGGGGCGAGCAGGAGGTGGGAGTTGGTGAGGCAGTCCATGAGACGGAAATAGCTCTGCAGAGGGGAGTGCAGCCACGGAGGCAGCGAAAAGGAACCGGATCCCACAAGAGAACCCGTGCCCTTGTTGCCCCCATCCTTAGAGCCGTCACCTGCGCTCTTCTTCTCCCCCGTTACTGCTGCTGCTGCTGCTGCATCGGTTGACCCATCCGTTTCCATCTGAGCCACTGTACCTCCTGCTACCTCTACTCCCACACTGCCCGCTTCCTTTTCTGCCTTCTCCTTCTCGCCCCCCTCAGCCTTCTCCTTCCGCTCCTTCACCTGCCGCTCCTGCTCGGCCCACATCACCCGCACCACCCACTGCAGCGACGCAAACAGCTGCTTCACAGCCCCATGCGCGTGGAAGAATCTCAGCAGCATGCTGTTGCACGTGTGCCGCCGCGGATCAACTATCAGCGAAAACATATCATCCACAATCTTCCCCAGATACACACACCGCACTGCCGGACAATCCAGTATCTCCTCACTAGAGCACGCCTCCACACTGCTGCTCCTCCCCGGGTCGCACCCGGCAAACCCTAAACCTAAATTCTCCTGGAAGGTCTGTGCGAGGGCTGCTGAGGCCACCTTCGCATGCCCTGTCAGCACCACAGCATCGTCCCGCCTTCGAGAAGGAACTATCCCCTTCCCAACGGCTACTTCAAACAGACGCACGGCCACTACTAGCCGCCCAAGCACCTCCTTCTGTACGGCACCATCTGGCTTCTTCCTCCCCGCAGCATCTGTGGTCCCCGCACCAGCTGAACCAGCGGCAGCGGCAGAAGCATCAGCAGCGCCGCTCACCCCTGCCTCAGGACCATTATCAGGGCCTGTACCATCAGGCACAACGCGAGAGGCGCGTGAGAGGTGCCTGCTGCCGCTGCGGTGCGGAAACCCTAATTCTCCACGGGGCCAGAGGGCGCCTGGGCCGTTGCGCATGACCCTGCCAGAGCCCACGTCACCGTCCATCATCAGCAAATCCAAATCATCTGCTGCCTCCCCTGGGAATACCTGCATTGCCGCTGCTGCTCCCCCTGCTGCACCTTCTCCAGCTACTGCTGCTGTGCCAGGTTCAGCTGCCTCTGAAGGTCCTGCGGATGGTGCAGCAGCAGATGATGCAGCTGCGGTGGCAGCAGTTGTAGCTGCCGCTCCTGGTGCAGCTCCTCCCTCAGAGCCCACACCCTGCCCTGCTTCCCCCCCTGCCCCTGACCCTCCAACAGCCGTTCCGCCCTCACCTGCTCCCTCTCCTCCCCCTACACTCCCCCCAGCCTCTGCTGCAGCAGCAGCAGCAGAAGAAGCGGCGGCGGCGGCAGGAGGCGGCACTCCCTTGTGCTCCAGCACGGCGAGCTGCCAGAGCGCCTCTCTGTGAAGCACAGCCACGTCTCGGAACACCTCTCCGCTGGACGACGCGAGGTCGGGGACAGAGAGAGCAGTGGCGCGTACTAGCACGGCGGAGAGCGAGAGCAGGCTCTCTGCTACTCCCAGGGCGCGCAGGAGCGACTCCCGTGACTCCACGTCCAGGTCAGACAACTGGCGCCGCCCGATTGTTACTGCAGATGAGCCTGCACCTGAAGCTCCTGCAGCAGCACCACTTGGTACAGCGGCAGCAGCAGCAGGGACTGTTGAAGCGGCTGTGGCAGCAGCACCCACAGCATCAGAGGCAGGAGGTGCGGTAGCAGGGGAGAACGACGAGAGGGACGTAGTGACAAACGCGACGGCACACTTGACATGCTTCTTGAGTGTGGACGCCACCCCGCGGGACACAGCAGAGGCGTGGCTGGGCCCGAACGCCCTCATGGTCATGGAGATCCCCTGGGCGGCAGGGGACGTGCCGAAGAGCAGCGGCAGGCGCGGCAGTGTGTAGAGTGCTAGGAGTGCGTCCAGGCCGCGGAGGTCAAGGAAGACGCGGCTGCTGGTTTCGTTGGAGAGAACGGCTTCCAGCAGGCGAGCCATGTTGCTGATGCAGTCTGGGAGGAACGCCTCTAGCTCTGCTGGGGTGAGCTTCTCCTTGACGCTGCTTGTGGTGGTGGCAGTGGTGGTGACAGCGGTGGTAGCAGCAGCTGCCCCAGTACCTGCCGACCCAGCTGCTCCTGCTCCTGCTGCCTCTCCTGCTGCTCCTGCTTCTGCCGGTTCTGCCGGTTCTGCCTCGGCCATAACTGCTTCCGAACCAGGAACCGCCAATCCAGCTCCCACTGTCTCTACCGCCGGCTCTTCTGCAACCACGACAGAAGCCAGTGCCTCCCCTGCTGGTCCTGGAGACACACTCTGGCCCTCCTCGGTCTCAACCCGTGGCTGCTCCCCTGTGGCTGCTGCAGCGACTGGCGCTGCTGCTGCTGCTTCTGCCTCTGCCCCCTGGTTCCCCCCATCTGTTTCCATGGGCACAGCCGCGTCACCCTCCCCATCCTGTCTGCTACCTTGCCCTTGTGCGCCTTCCCCTGACGCACCCGCACCACATGCACCCGCCCCTGATGTCCCTCCCCCTGTTCCTTGCCCCACTCCTGCTGCCCCCTCCTCCCCGCCCCCGCCACTCCCCACCGGCCTCCCGCTATCCGCATCATCCTCCTTCGCCCTCACCCCCTCCTCCCCCCCACCATCCCCTCCTCCCCGCATCTCCCCTTCCCACGAGTCCCCTCCCTCCCCCCCTCCCCTTCCCCCTCGCCTCCCCTTCCGCTCCTCCAGGCCCCCCATGCGTGCAATCTCCCTAAGGGCGCCCACAACTGCGCCCATGAGGGGCTGGCGGAGGCTCACCTGGTGGCGCATGAGCTCGTCCAGCCCGGATCCCAGCACGGACGCCGTGTCCCCCGCCAGGGGGCGCGCGTACTGGCGCGAGGTGAAGAGGGCGGGCAGGCAGGCGAGCACGTGGGAGTCTGTGACGAGCTGTAGCCCGCGCTGGTTGAGGCAGAAGGCGAGGAGAGCGTTGGGGATGGCGCAGATGGCTTCTGACGACGGTAACACGCCTGGGAAGGGGGAGAGGGGAGGGAGGGATTTAAGGGGGATAAGAGAAGTGGGGGTCGAAACGAAAACAGAAGGCGAGGAGAGCGTTGGGGATGGAACAGATGGCTTCTGACGACAGCAGCACACCTGCAGGAAGGGAGAAAGGGGGAGGGAGGGAGGGAGGGAGGGAGGGGAGGGGAGGGGGGAGTGCGGGGGAACCAGAAGGGCAACGCAGGAGCTTAGAGGCGCCTCAAAAAAAGATGATGAGCAGTGTGTTGGAGATGGCGTCAGACTATGGCGTAAAGCACCCCTCTGTCTGTGCTTGTGTCTGTGGATGAGTTACTTGTGTGCTATGGCGTAAAGCGCGAGCACAAGCACAAGCACAAACACAACAAGCTGGACACAGCCACACACAGCGCACTCACCAGCCTTGACAGCGTCCACAAACGTCTCGGGCAGCCCGGCAGCATCCAGCACAGCGAAGCTGGTGGGCTCGTGGTGGATCTGCTCGCTCATCACCGACGATGCCAGCGCAAACACGCCTCCTCCGAACTCCTTCGCGTGCCGAAACACGGCCGCCAGGCAGTCCGGCAGCCGTCCCATGCCCCCTTGCTCGGGGGAGGCTGAGGCGAGCCTGACAGTGCTGCCTGGTGCGAAGCTGACCAGAGAGATGACGCGCAGCAGGGCTTTAATCAGGCTGCGCTGCCGGTAGGTCAGCACTGCTGGCGCTGTAGCGGATCCGCCAGCAGCAGCAGGTGATGCCGTACCAGCGCCGCCGCTCGACCCTACGCCTGCTCCCCCTCCTGCACCCTCATCTTCCACCATCGGAGCCTTGCCCTTGCGATCCTCATCCATACCAGTGGCTCCTGCACCAGCCGAGCCACTGCCACTCCCCCCACCAGCAGTCCCCTCACCAGCACCCTCAGCTGCACCAGCAGCCAGGGTTTTGCTAGACCCTAAACCCTGAACAGGCAGGAGAGTGGGCTCAACTCGAGCGACCTCGAGCCTGAGTCTGTCCACGCACATGTCAAGCCCGTTCAATTCCCTAAAGAGTGCTGCTGCAGGGTTGGAGAAATCCATGAAGGCCTCTAGGATCTGCACTGACCACGTCACCAGACTCATATGCTCAGGCTTGGTGTCCCGAACCAAAGGCAGCAGGGTCGGCACCAAGCCTGCCTCCCGAAGAGCGGTGCAACCCGACGAGGAGGATACCAGCGCAGCAATGAGGACCAACAGCGCGTCAACAAATTTCGGCGAGCAGCCTCCTGGTTTCCCAAGCTGAGCCACGGTCCTCTGCATCAGGCTTGGCAAGGTGGCTCGGTGCCCACCAGTGCTGATGGCACTGAGGACCGTCGACTGGCGTGGCCGGTCCTGCGCCATGGCAGCCAGGGCTAGCAGCGCGTACATCCGAACCTCCTCAGGCACCAGGCTCTCCGCATTGAGCAGCGAAATTAGCTCCGGGACGAACTCAGGCTCGTTGGCAAAGAAGGCAGTGAGCTCGTCCGGGTCTGGTGTGGCGAGCAGCAGCACTCGGAAGGCCAGCAGGCGCACGCAGAGGAAGCGGCGGCGCGAGGCGAGGAGAGGGAAGGAGTAGGCGCAGCGGAGGCGGGTGAGGAGGGAGAAGCGGAGGGCGGAGGGCACGGAGTATTGATCCACCAGGCGCTGGAGAAAGTCGAGCTCGGAGATTCCCTTCAGCTGCACGTGCTCTTGCACCCCAGGCACGTGGATGACCCTCAAACCAGGTGTTAGACCTGTCGAAGCAGCGGCAGGTGCAGCAGGAGAGGGCGAAGCGGAGGGAGCATCAGGCGATGCCTCACCAGCCTTGTCCTCTTGACCCTCTAACCCCTCTCCACCGCTCCCACCCAGCCCCTGACCCTGCCCCACCGCCCCCACTCCAGCAGGCCCCTCCGCATAAAACTCAAAGTGCAACGTCCCTCCCAGGGACAGAGCGGACGCGTCCAGGCCCCCTTGGAGCGCGCAGGGCAGCATGCCAAGGCCCTCCTCCTTGCCGCCCCATGCCTGCGCGAGGGCGAAGAGGCGCGCTGTGATGGCGGGATCCGCATGCCAGCGCGTGCTGCGACCTGGCTGGAAGGGCTTCTTGCCGTACACTGAGAGCAGCTCGAGACTCGCTGACAGCACGTCCAGGTCCGTGCTCGCGAGCAGCGTGCACACGTGCTGTGGAAGCGAGGAAGAATGGTGGACGAGGGACCGGCGGGAAGGGAAAGGGGGGAGGGAATATAGGGGGAGAGCGGAGTGGGGAGGAGAGAAGTGGCTGAGAGAAGGCAGCCTGACAGCGCGTCCAGGTCCGTGCTCGCGAGCAGCGTGAAGACGTGTGGTGGGAAAAAGAGAGGTTAAGGTCGCGCAAGAGGGCGGAAGGGGAGGAGGGGAGGGGGGGAGGGGGGGAGGAAGTACCAGATAGGACATCTCAACATTTCAGACGGCCAAGTTCGTTTGGCAACATGAATGAAGGCTATAAGGAGACGGCGTTACAACAACGGATTCAGCGTGTACCTCGACGGACGCGTAGAGGTGCTTGTTGACGGAGTTCTCTAGGATAACGCGCGACACCCGCAGCACCTGCAGTACCGCATCCCGCGGGAACGGCGGATCCACGCCCGCGAACCGGCCATCTAACTGCAAATCCTTGCGCGATTTCACGGAAGCTTCGAGGAAGGCGTCGAAGTGGTTCAAGAGGTCTACCCAGTGCAGCACGTCGCCCTGCCAGGCAGACACGCCAAAAGGTTTCCGATGCGATGAATAGAAGCACAACGGAAAGCGGAAAGAGAGAGGAATTGATGCGTGACGAGAAAATAAGAGAGGAGCCAATTTGGCGGTAAAGTTTAACGTGTAAAGGATGACAGAAAGGTGAACAGGGAACAAACATAGTGGGGGGTTCACTGAAAAAAAAACCCGATGAGGAATTCCCAGAATAAAAACCCAAGTCCCGACGAACGTGTATACGAGCGCGTATGGGAGCACCGATGGGTCGTTCGCTTTTCTAAAACTATCATCCTCATTGAACGCCAGAATCCCAAAGAAGCGAGAGGCCCTACCTTGTCATAAGTCCACTTGAACTCCGAAAGAGGCTTCGCTATGTCATGTAACGGAACGGAGATAATGGAATCTATAACTTCCTTCACTCTCGGAGGCTGCAAACAAGCCAGACACAAGATTAAGGGACTCGTTAGATCCATGCCATGACAAGTCTAATGAAGCTCGTCTCCGCGGATCTGAATCCAGGAACACTGGAATTTGAAATACGGCGAAATTTAGAGATTGAATCTGTCAGGAGAAACTAAAACATCGAGGCCGGCAGGAAAAGCGGTCAGAGATGGACAGCGCTTACAGGATCCGAACCCTTTTTCTTTTTGACCTTCATCTTCCCACACCAAGACACGCGAAAACCTCCTACAAGGGCAAGCGCCTTCGGTGGAGAATTCGAACCACCAGTAGAGATTCAATAACCAGACAAGACAGCGGTCGCGTCTTGTGGTGGTTTTCGCATCCAGGCAAAGTGGAATCTCTCTCTCAAGACGAAGGGATGACTCTACTGCACCCTAGTCTCTAGACTCGAAATCCCTATTGACGCCTTGAAATGGTTGCAGAAACATGGCGGTGGTCCGGTCCGGTCCGCAATGAAGATGGTAGTCCCTGAACCTTCGAGGGTGCTAGTTCCCCTGGCCCTGATTGGTCAAGTTTCCAGCGGAACAAGATTGCGACATGGCTAGCATTTCGTCAGGCGTGGTGCCACGCGGACGGGCACATCAGCGATTCATGATACAAAATATCAAGGACAATTATACTGATAACTGTGCATACACTAATGAGTCTTCTACAGCACAAGCCTATGGGCTGCCATTGGTAGCATGAACATGCACCAACATCTACTCTTTTTTCGCATGCTTGTGCTTGTGCAGTGACCTTAATCCATGAGCGATTCCTGCTCCTACTGGAAGTGATGTGAGCCTAACAAAGGGGCTTGCAAGACTCTCCGCGACCCAAGTAACAACCGACTTGGATGGGAAAATCCCTCGAGAGAGCAAAGTAAGTGAGAAAGGAAGGAAGCTGGATGATGTTGTCACGAGGAATTCTCCGGATCGAACAGCCGCCAGTGTTTTCTCTGCCACAATGTCGGGGTTCTCTATCTTGTTGCGGTCATACATTGATGCCACCTCCATCAGTTTGGTGAGGTATCGTCCAGATGCTTCGGCTGGAAAAAACAGTGTCGACCGAAGCAACCATCAGGATACATGAATATTTATAGCCCCACCTTAAAAAGTGAAATAAGCATGTGGGATGTAGGTACTTACCATCATCAAGCAGATGAGTGTCGGTGAAGCCTGGGCAGACAACGGAAACCGATATGTCATATGGGAGCAGCTCAAGACGAAGGCCTTCTGCAAAGCCTCGGACCCCGTACTTGGTAGCAGTGTAAACTGCTGCACCATACCAGAAGCTCTGTAACATAGATAAAACAAAACCTTGGATTCAGTGTCATGCTATGAGTGAACATGATCTTGAGTCACAGCAGCACATTGTACCCACCAGAGCAGAGAGTGAGCACATGAAGACAATGGCACCTGGCTCCGCTCCTTGTGCAACCCTCTCCTTCAAAAGCGGCACTGCAGCCTGCACAGGGTAGATGCTTCCCAGCAGGTTCGTGTTGACCTGCTCCTGGGCCTGCAGTGCGGAAATGTCCTCCACATGGCCTGTGCGCACCACTCCAGCGTTGCACAGCAGCACATCTATGGGGCGCGCAGCTGCTGCTGCGTCTATGGCTGCCTGCACCGCCTTGGCATCAGAGACATCCACTGCCTGCACAAAAATTCAGACAAACCACAATTTCGTTTTCAAGAAAATACTCTATGAAGTATGGGTGCTCACAAGGTGCTACAGAGGGATCACTTCAAGCTCACCTGAGTGAAGATTCTGGGAGTAGGAAAAAAGCCATTGGTTCCATTGTGAGCAGACTCCCTGGTATACTGCTGCAGCTCCCGTGCTGCCTCTTCCAGCTTGGCCGCGTTCCGAGCCATCAGGGTAACCGAGGCTCCCTGGAGAATTCATGAAAATACGTCAGATTATTTCCACTTTAACCCCAAAAGCCCAAGTCCACAATAACCAGCGATCCAATCCTCTATCAGATGTTACCTCTCTCAGGAAACGTTTGGCACAGGCGAAGCCAATGCCAGTGGAGCCGCCGGTGATGACCACATGCTTGCCCTTCATCATCTTCATGCTGCTACGGCTGCACGAAGAGAAATGAACAACGGGAGCATGATGAGCGCGAAGATCAGGGGCGAAAAGAAATCCACGTTAAAAGAATATGACAGTTCTTGGTTAGAATGCAAGAAGTGGTGTCTTACCAGAGAAGGTCGCCTGAAAGTAACTGGGGGGGTTGATTGACAGCTGCGAGGCGAATGTGACGAGAGGCAGAGGAGAATTCCGAACGGCTAAACGAGAGGGCTGATTGTCTTTCACTCGCAACTTTGATACGACCAGCTACAACAGCGCTAGATATTATTCCGGCAGCTGCGGACGTTTTGGGGAGATGGATGTTCATGGTGGGACGATGAATATAACCCTTCGACGAACAATTATGGGAATTAACGGATTCGCGGTAAATGGCGGCGAAGCATCCATGCTTCACCGACAAAACCACGAGAGCAATTCAGAAAAAACTTGATTGAAAACGACGTGACGTCTCTGTCGTCCGCGCAAGAAAGCGACGGCAAGTTGAGGATTGACGACTCGGAGAAACGCAGACTCTGCATCACGTCAACGTCAAAACCGATATGAATGTGCTAGTCATTATGGAGGTGAGTGCGCTAGTCACAGTGGAGGTAGTTTGCTAGCCATGGCGAATGTCATTGATGTGGAATGACAACTAGACTCAGACCAAACGCTGTGAGATGTCACGTGATCTTCGTTACAGTACTAGCTATGGGAAGGTACGGGATTGACGATTTCACATCCATGTGGAGCAGGATAAGCATATGAACACAAGAATTTTTGCTTGAATTAGCATTTGGAATGTGAATGGTGCTAACACCATCCATTCGGCTATGAACTTCTTGGAACATAGAAAATTCAACTTAATGGTCCGTACCGTATTTATCAGCATAATTGATCAGAAGGCATGTTTGTCTCCTCATGAATTTTCTCATTTCAAAAACTTGGTTTGACTATACCTTTCCTAAGAAAGGTTTTACTAGAGCCTGCCTATACTTGTTTGTATTGTACATAGTATGCTGTAGTCACATCACGAAAAAAAACACTTGGTTTGTGCATAGAAACAGTTAATATTGTAATAATGCTCAGCGGTCAGCCTTGTATGCGAACGCTTGCAGGATACCGTGTATACCCTCAGCAGGTCATCGGCCAACAGCGGTGGCGAGGCAATGGCATCAGTCCAAGAAGCTATCTCCTCATCGTGTCTTCTGTCTCCCTCACCATCAGCATTCAACTGCTGACATCCGATGCTCACCACGTTCACTCGTAGCTACGACTTATTAGTGGTTGTGCGATTCGCGAACTTGTGTCCTAAAAATTGGCAACTAACATTGGAAACTTTTTTTAACAAACCGCAGAACGTGAATACTGACAATAATGAAATCGAGACTTGTGAGTGCAGGCAGGGTGGTGGCCAAAGTGTCGATCACCCCAGCACGTAATGGCAAAGCCGCAAGAGACTTATTTTCCCAGCAAATGGAGTTCCGAGGTTTTTCAGAGTCCAGCGAAAGACTACAGCCGCAAGTCGTGCTGCATACTATATCTGATGACGGGCTGTGGTTCAAATTAGCTCCTGAAGAAGGTTGTGAGGCGAGTTGGCATGAGCTGGATTTAATCCACAGCTCATGTGTGACAGATTCCAAGGTAATGCTCTCGGTAACACTTATGTTATCTTACAATACCGCGCACACAGTGGATTCAAAACTAGTAACTTGTGTTTCTGATCTCGCAGACTGCTGTCGTGTCAATCGGAGGCGGATTCGAGGTGCACTTGGTTGCTATGTTAGGCAATCGCCAGGAGCATCGTAAGAACCACAGACCGTGCTTCTGGGGATTCCTCGTGAAGGAAGGCCAGTTCTCGGCCTGCTTGAAGATGCTGAACCTCCGCTGCCTTGCTGTGGTCTTCGACCTCGATGAAACTCTCTTTGTCGCCAATACAATGAAATCTTTTGAAGACAAGATCGGTGTGCTGAGGCAACGGCTAGCAGCGAACAGTGATCCGCAACTGGCTAAGCTTTTGGCAGCTGAGCTGGGTCGCTACGAGGAGGACAGGCAGATCCTCCTTCAATACTACGATACCAACGCTGTCATGCTTGACGGGAAGTGCTACGTGGCTCAGCCTGAAGCCGTGACACCAGTGGAGGGGCAATCTCTTCCTGCCACTCGGCCTGTCCTCAGGCTCCCACACCAAAACATTGTTCTAACAAGAATCTTTCCAGAGGTGAAACGGTATTCTTTTTGCACACTTGATGCTTTGGACTCTGTTGTACCCTGAGCGGAAGCCTGATTTAGTGTGGTGGTGACTGTGCAGAATCGGGACACTAGTGTGCTTGTCAGAATGCGGCCATCCTGGGAAGATTTGCGGAGTTATTTTTCCACCAAGGGACGGAAGCGGTTTGAGGCCTTCGTGTGCACAATGGCAGAGAAGCAGTACGCTTTGGAAATGTGGAGGCTGCTTGATCCTGAAGGAAAGCTTATTCAACCGAAGGAGCTGTCAGCCCATATCATCTCAGTCAAAGCTGGTAGGTTCACCTGGCCGATTAGGTTTCCTTCAATTCAATGAAACATTTTTTGTATATCTCTTCCTCTTTAACGTTCCGTTTATTGATGGGCTCTGATTGCAGGCACATTCAAATCACTACAAAAGGTGTTCCACAGGAACGATTGTGATCCAAGAATGGCAGTCATTATTGATGACAGAATGAATGTCTGGGAGGAAAGGGACCAGCCACGTGTCCACCTTGTTCAACCTTTTGCTCCGTATGCAGCACCCCTGGCTGAGGTGTGTGAATTTGCTGGACTGTGTTGGTTTAGCCATATTAGTCAAACCGGCCGCTTTATTATCCCCTTCACATTATTTCAATTGCTGGCAGGTCAATCTGGCTGTTCCTGTCTTGGTCCATGCCAGGAACGTGATTTGCTATGTTCGAACTGACTTTTACAGGTAAGCGGACAGACGGTTTCATGCTCCATCTTACTGTCCATCTCATATCAGCTTGTTCAACAAGGACCAGCACTTGCTGTTTCCGTAACAAATGAGCAAGGGTTGTTGTGCAGGGCAATCGATGACTACTTGAGCCAAGGATTGGCAAGCATGTCCCACGATGCTGAGTTGCATCAGCTCCCACCAGTTCCTGACACGGCAATATTTGTGAAAGGTGCTCCAGTGGACAATGTATGTGAGTTATTGCCTTCAAGCTTTCTTGTTCCTCTGCTACTTGTCAAGTCTGACATGCGGATCTGCTTGGCAGGGGGCAATAGAGTCCAAGGAGCAGCAACAGTGGGTTTTCCAGTATCCTGGAGAGAAGCCACTTGCTCAACCAGGTGCACAATTGGATGTACCTGACAGAGGTGCTCCTCGTTTTGGGGGTCCTCATCTAGAGAGAGTGCAAGGAAGTTTGGTCCCATCAGCAGCGGCTCAGGTATCCAGCCATTTGTTGCAACTATTAAAAAACGTAGCTTGCAATTTTTGGTTCACTTTTACAGAGTCTAACTTCTGCTATGTGCGTTGTGTTTCAGCCACCAGGGCCTTACGATGATTCAGAGGACTTGCCTTTGTGGCAACCAGAAGCAGTTGCACCAACTGAGCCTCGAAATGCTCAGTCCAACCAGTTACCGGCTGCAGATGTCTTGTCAGGTACTGCAAGAGATGGTAACGCAGGTGAAGTTCCAGCGAAACCTCAATCCGAGGAGGTGGAGGAAGGGGAGCTTTCAGACAGAGAAGATTTGCCTTCTGAATCAAAGAAGGAAGAGTCAGAAACAGATTTGGAGTTGGAGCGGCGTCGACGGATGCTTATTTTGCAGCACGGAATGGATCCCGTGCTGGCTTCTCCAAGCATTTCACTTCCTCCAGGCTTCACGTTGCCTGGATCGTCAGCCTCTCCAGTTATTCTACCACAGCCCCCACCGCAAATGCCTCCTCTCTGTGACTTGTCCAGTGGTCCGTCTATTGTACCTCCACAAGCTTCTGTGCCGCCTACAGTTGCTGCACCATCTCCTAGACCATTTCTGATGTGGGAGGTCAAACCTTTAGTTGAACCATCCAGTCTTGTGAAGGCTGTTTCTGGGGAGAGCGTCAGAATACAAGATGAGAGCCCTGCTATCAGCCCTCCTGGGTTTGGCCCTCCAGGGTTCACCACTCTCGGTTCCCGTAAGTACTTTTTTGAGTCTGTTGCAACTCCAGTGTTCTTTGTCTCACATCTGAGGATTCTTATTACGGCAGGTGCACAGACTCGTGATCCACCGCTGATCAGCTCACCATCTAAAAAGGCCGTGCCGGCGTCCATGAAACGGGTGAGCAGCTAAACTGATAGAATTCGACAAGCTCCAATCAGCAACTTCAGCACTACCCTCGATGCAGCAGGAGTTAAGGCATTTGCACACCTGTCTACACATTGTCAGGGGGCTAACTGCACTGTTATTGTTTTGCTGCAGAATGACTCTGAATTGGAGGCAAGCACAAGGGAGACTATTGCTTTGCATGTCTCCAATGACATGAACAGGTACGGCCAGCTAATTAAATAATTTTATTTTAGACAAGCTATAGCCGTGTCTTTACAACTGATGGTGTGTGGATTGTGCAGTATGCAAGGCGCAGCTAAACGGAGGAGATTGATCGGTCCGTCATAGTGTGTGCACTCCTGATTTGTACAGGCCACAGCTATTCTGTATGTGGCATTCACTACACAATCTTTATTGTACAATGTCACAAAAGCAGGGATGTTTTTCAACCTCTTCCAGAATGGAGCTCAAGCATCAATGCCAAGAAAGAGCCCTACTCAGCACCTTCTGCTGCAATGCAGTGGTCATTAGCGCCTACGTTTCCTGATTTGCACAGGCCACAGCTATTCCGCAGAAGACATCATTACACAATCTTCATTGTACAACAAGGTGATAAGAGCAGGAATAGCTTCCAACATCTTCCACAATTGACCTCAAGTATCAATGCCAAGAAAGAGCCCTGCTCAGCACCTTCTGCTGCAATGCAGAGATCATTAACGTCTACGTCTCACGGACTTGGAAAGCTCCTCTCGATAATCATTCAGGTTTTGCTTGATCCAGAGCCTCCGCTCCACAAGCCTTTCTTGGGCAGACTCCCCTGCAAGGCATTGTACAACACTCATCCAAAAAATTAAATATGAAAAGAGCAAAGAAAGATCCAAGAAAGCAGGTGCCATTGGATTCCCATGGCTCCAACTGGCCTTACCCATGGAGCTCCAGTGAGCTGCAGGAATACGAAGGGTGGTGCGCGTGAGGTAGCAAGCATCGTTCCATACCAGAGGCGCATGGCGCATGGTGTAGCGATGGAACCACTGCACCTGCCACCATATCAACTGCACATCCAATGACAATGCACGGACTTCAGAATGTCATATGAGAGATGCAGTCAACAGAACGAGCACAAAACGAAGGAACAGCAGACAACAGCACATGGAGGGCAATGATTTACCTTGGCAGCTACATAAGGGAAGATGACAACTTGAACACCAAAGAGCCGCCACGGACACGGCTTGTCAGCTCCATGCACCTGCCGTGGACGGAATCACGAAGAATATTTAAAAAAACATGACACCAAGAATATACATTGCGTGATGTGACTGCAAACCGTACCTGAAGCTCGAGTTCAGCCACTCCATTTTCTGGGGGAGCAGCAGCAGCTGCTCCAGCTTGTTGGGTGTCAGCTGCTCTGAAAGCATCCACAGTTCGTCCCAGGCAAGCAGTGGGTGTGCAGGTAGAGGTAGTCAGGCAAGATCACTGATCAGAACACAAGCCTGAACATATTGTGTGCAACAATTTTTCGAAGGGGACATGGGCAATCAAGCAAGAAACCCACATCTTCGAGAGTATAAACTAGTGCCAAAATGTGAATTGTGCCCTCGCTGCCTACCTTCCTCCACGCCGGCCCCCTCCACGCTTCCCTCTGCCTCCACCAGTGGTGCTGGCAGCAGCAGCAGCAGCCGCAGCCCTTTCCAGCTCCAGCTGCTTCAAGCGATTGCGGTAGGCTGGGGTCTGCTTGGCGTGCTCTATAGCCTGCGAGGTGACAGAGAGGAAGTGGCAGGACAGCATGGGGCATGAACAACGTGAAAGCGACAAGGAGGAACAATAATAATCTGTTACATGTCACTTGGCAAAAGATTCCAACCCATAGAACGGAAAGCGAGTCAATTCGCCTGCTTGCCCAAGGGGCTGAATTTAGGAGATGCCTTAGAACCTCACCTATTGGTACTCACTGACACTGGGTGCGGCTCACCTGGTTGTATCGAATGTGATCGTTGAGGTACTGGAAGGACGAGAGCAGCAACAGCGCTGCAAGCAGGATGAGTCGAATGTCCTGTAATCAACCAGTGCAACACAAAGTGATCATGATGATTGGGACAAAAAAAGAACCACAATTTGCAAGTGGTTGAAGGGGATGTGAATCAGTGAAAAGCAATGGCAGCAGCATACAGGCAGCACACCGTAATGGTACGATGCATGAGGGCGACAGAACGCAGTGCAAAACCTTATCACGTAAACAGATAATTGTAACACAGAATATCTGCCATGACGAGAGGGTCAACTAGCTCTGTCAAGATGAGGAGCGACAGAAGCCTCACCGTCTTAGGAGCATAATAAGTCTGGTAGTAGCGTGCAGTGTTGTAGAAGAACTGAACAGGCAAGTAACAGGTGGAAGGAGAGAGGGAGGGATGAGGGAGGAGGAGGGGGGGAAGAAGCGCGAAGTGGGATTAGACGGGTTGCTTGCACTGATGTGCAGGCCGTCTTCATGTTACCAATGAGGTGGTGCAAACCATGAAGGTGCAACATGCATACACGTCAACTGCTATCCCTACTTGCAAAAAAACACGGAATCTGCTCAAGGCAAATGGCATGCAATGCGATGCAATGCCATGATTTTCCATGTTGTGCAACGTGCCGAGCCATGCGACATGCGAAGCCATCCCATGCCATGACATGCCATGCCATGCCACATCAGGCCTTGCAAAGCACCTGCTCTGGATGCGCGATGGCATAGTCATATTGCTCCCTCTTCTCCGCATCATACAAAATCTGGAGGGACGGACGGAGGAGGAGGGAAAGAGGCAGTAGAAGGTTGACTTTTGCTGGTTCAGCATGGTTTGTGGGCGCGTGGATGAGAGCCCTATGGTGTCAGGGGTCTGAAAGCGTGGTGCTGCAGGCAAGTATGAGTAGACAGCGGCAAACGATAAATGAATAACCTTGTTCTTGAGTCAAAGCAGTGTCATACACATTTCTCAGCCTCAACTCACGAAAGGTCACACTACTAAATACGCAAGTTCTCAGCAATTCAGGAAAGTTGTACCTCATAAGCGTTGGCGATTTTGGAGAATACAGCTTGCGCGTCTGGCTCTGGATTCTTGTCTGGATGGCTGCCATGAGAGGCAGGGAGCAGAACGGCCGTGGAGGGTGCAGAGTGGTAAGGAGCGGTGGCAGGTGACCAGGGGTGGTGAAGAATGGGGAGGAATGGTGATGGTTGACTAGGGGTAGAGGGACGTTGGTATTCTAAAGGAAACTTAAGTTGATAAGTTCATAAAAGTGGGGCTCACTCACTATTTGAGGGAGAGCTTGTAGTAAGCCTTCTTGATCTCCTGCTGTGTCGCTGTCTGCTTCACCCTGATGCAGTTGCATGGTTACACGGCAAAGCAGAGATAGGGATTGGCAAATTCAGGAAACTACGATGCGAGGAAGTGAATCAAGACTCGGCCATTGCAATGACTGGGATAACAGGTGCTGAAACGAAAGAGCGGCAGCGACGGGAGCATGGATCTAATCCGGTCATCAGATCACGTGGACGGTGGATGCAGGACACCAATGATTGGATACTGGACGGCGCCGAATGCGAAGAGGACGACACCAAGCAGGTAACTTGACCTAGTCAGGTGTGACTGTACGCAGTAAGGGTGACTGTACCCGAGAAGGTCGTAGCAGTCATCGTCGCCGCAATACATGGCCCATGCTGACGACACCATACACGCGATCAGCACCGCAACGACCAGGATCCGACATGATGACATCAGAGCCATGCTGACAGCGTGCGGGGAAGGGAATGACAGCGTGCGGAGAAGGGAATGCAAGCATGAGGGGTAGGGGATGGAAGTGGGAGGGAAGGGAATGGCAGCGGGAGGGAAGGGAATGGCAGCGGGAGGGTTATGGATGCAAGCCTGAGGGAAATGGGAATGGAAGCGGGAGGGGGAGGGACTTGAGGAAATAGCAGCGCGACGGGAGGATATTGCCACGCGAAAGGAAGATCCCAGCCGCGCGATGGGAAGGGAATGGCCGCGCGACGGGTAGGGTAGCGCTGCGTTTGGGAATTCCTCATCGGCGCGCGGGAATGGAACTATGGCGTGAGGGAAGGGTGTCGGCGTGTTTTTCGGGAATCCCGTGCAAGCATGTACTCACACGTGTCTTTGGCCGCGATCTCCTACGTTTGTGGCCCTTGGGTTTTATTGCGATTGCAAGAATCGGCGAAAATCTGATGTCTGCTGATCTATCCGGTAGATCTAAAACCGGACAAGATTATTCTGCCGAGACCACTAGAGCGTCTCTTGCGGCGGACATCCCGGTGGGGATCCCGGATCTCCTCTGAACAAGTCGACGATTATGGGAACTACGTAAGTCGGACTGGGTGTGTCTGTCTGCTAATCTGGTGTGTCCTGCCAAAATGACAATACCGGGTACAACAGTGATACTGACAGATCTTACAGCAGGCTAGAAGAATGATGTCATGTAATTCTTAATTGTCTCTTAGCATACTGTATTCAGATCCATCCATACTATGCTGTTGACCCGCTGCCAGAATGTTGCATTGGACAGAACTAAAGATGCAACCTACACATGCAGTTTCAGACCTTCACCTTCAGACCTAATCCTCAACTACTAGGCACTAAAGGTTCACATTAGTTGCTGCTTCTAGAACCATCAACTGCAGGTACGGTAGATGTTTCCTTAGGTGAAGGAGCTTGTGCTGACTTCACCTGCACCTACCCTTCCAACAAAATTGCTCACTGGCACATATTACCTTGGCATCAAACAGGGATTGTCACACTCAAATCAACAATCTAGGTGGCATTGCCAAGACTTGGCCCCAGATAAATATGATTTCCACTGTAAACGTCTATACAGGTTACAGCACCATTCTGGATCCTACATCTCAATTGCTCCTGCATTGCCACTGCTCAACAACAGACAGGACGAGGGGGGCAGGACAGAAAAGAGACATCCTCATTGGTTGGAAGAAGGCAGGTCACAATTCAAAATGGTTGAGAGGTCAGATTGCCCACAGCAGCCCAAAACAAAACCATGGTGGATTGAGCGGAGGAGAAAAGACAGCAGCAGCAATCACTTACTCTCCGTATCTGGATCGCCAGATGTTGCGTTGGCGAATCCAGCAGATGCACGCGCACAACATGACAAGGACCATGCCGCCACAAACCCCTGCACATCCAGAATTGGGGTATGCATGATGGATCGAGGCGAGGATAAGTTACAAGGAAAATATTATAAAGATGCTGTAAGAAAGGCCTTTCCACCCAGAAAGACAAGGCTGTAGGGAGTGAGAAGTTGAGCAATGCACGAGCGGATAGGAAATCAGCGAGTTGCTTGACAGGAAACAGGAATGCGTGGTAGTGAGGAGGGGGTACAACAAACAATGAGGGGGGGAAAAGACAACTAGGAGGGATGAGAGAGAGGTGGACAGGATTGGATTCTGGAGGGGAACGAGCAGCCCGGGGAGGGAGGTTGGGGGCCGGAGGTTGGGGGAGGAATATGGGAAAACGACGAAAGATTCGTCAAATTAAGAATACGGGAAAAAGCTCCTCGTATTTCTTGCAACTATATTTTTTCTAATGACTATGTTTTGAACCAGTTTGGGTGCATAGAGGTCCAAGGATGATTACATTCAACTTCCGCGATCCAAGAAAGGAAAACGGTTGTTGTAAGGGCGTGTGTGGTCTTACAAATTTGTGAAAGTTTATGTTTTTAGGTCGAATGTAGCATTTGAACAAAACTCGACTTTCTTTCCAGCGAAGTTCGAATTTTGGGTCTCCAACACAGACGAGTCACAATCACACACCCAAGGTCGAACACAGAGATTCGACCTTTTAGGGATGGCGGCGAGCCGCCCGTAGGGGAGTAGGTTACCTGGTACAGCGCGACACGTTAACGTAATGCGCAACGAAACTCAACGACCTTCGCAAAGCGGTCGCGATTTTCGGATGGCCTTCGTACGTGCTGAAAACAACACACACTCGCCTCATGTGCACCCGCAGGTTCACTCGTGTGATTCGAGTTGAGTTCACATTTGACATTCGAACTTATGTGCCCCAAAATTCTCATGTCTTTGCCAAAGCTTCCTGACGACATTAGCGAAGCTGGTAACCAGACAAAGTTCGACCTTTTTTCCGAACTTGAAAATAGATCACACGCGCTCTAAGGCTACGCAAAGTGGAGCTTTTGTGCTTGAACTAAAGAAAAGCATAGGTGATCTTCGTTTAGATGAATTGTAAGTGACGATTCTTACCAGCATGACGCCCACAAATTTCGACCAGTCCTTACATTTAACGTGGACACTTGAAACTGGTCCAGTCGAGACGGAATATAATAATTTATGGAGCGCCATTCTAGCCCACCTCTATGTATTAGAGATTCAACCAACTGCGAGACTGAGTCGAGCGAATCTTCGGACTCAGTCCGAGACGCGAATTTTCGGTCTCAATTGTTGGATCCTAGATGCATCTTAATTTTGATGAGACGTTCGTTCTAGACACGGAAAATGCATGGTCTCAACGCAACAGATGGTCTCAATGCATGTTAAATGCGATAAAGTTCCCACTAACGGAGACACGGGATACTATGCACAGCATGATTGTATGCATGGACTCACCAGCGACGATACCAATAATGGCCTCTGTGGAGAGATCGCCACCCTTCATCTTATCGTACGCGCCTTGGAAGTCGTACATCGTGCCGTTACCCGCAGTCACCGTATCATCAACAGCCACGGTGGCAGATTCTGTTGGAACCGTCGCGTCGACGGGAGTGGCGGCGTCAGGATCGAAATTAGCGTCGGTCGTGTCAGGAGCAAACGCAGCAGACGCGGTATCCGTCGGCTGGGCTGCATCTTCAACGGGAGGGGTATCAGTGGGAATGTCCTCCGGCGCAGTGGTGGTTTCCGGGGGAATGTCGTCCGGCGCAGTGGTGGTTTCTGAGGGGATGTCCCCCGGAGCCGGTTCGCCAGCAGGCTGTTGCTCGTCTGCGGGAGTAGTATCGTCGGGCACGTAGGCGTCTTCCGGGGGAAGGAACGGATCTTGCGCATCCTCGCCTGGAACTGCATCGGTGGGAGCAGTTTCGCCTTCGTTGAAAGCGTTCGGGTCTGTGTATTGGTCGAGCTGGTCCGGAGGCACGCCCATGTCCTCCGGCAAGGTAGTGTCCCCTGCGGGATCAGGGTAGTCTTGATCTGGTTGCGCGTGACATACCGTCGAGCCAAGTAGGACTAGGCTAAGAACGAGAATGAGACTGAATCGGTGGAAGGAGCGAGCCATGCCTAATGCTCGAGACGTCCCTGCTATGTTACTGCACGAGAACCCCAATGCCTCTTGAGAAAGTGGCTGTGAGGAGGGAGCAGCGGCCAACAATGCAGAAAACAAGACTAAGTAGGAATTTTCTGTCACTAACGACTGATTTAGTTTCCGCGATATGCTTTGAATGCCAGAAAGTGGTATTGGGCTGGTTTGATTTAACCATGGACCTCGAAGTTGGTGGAGGAGATATCGAGGCTCGGCTCGAAGGAAGCGGGAACAGAACAGCCGAACCACAAGTACGTCTGGCGGGAACAAGCCTGGCAAGCACAAAGAAAAACTGGGACCACTGTTCGCAGATCGGGAAACGGAGGAGGGAGAGGGAAATCACTTGGTTTTGGCGTTTGCCGAAGCTGACTGCTAGTGTGCTGATTGAATGCCGAACTGCAGCCACATGGGACCTGTCAAAACAGCTGCGGGATTGCCGGAAGTGCCTGGGGCTTGGCGGTAGGTGCGACTAGGTGCTACCAGGATGCAGAAAGGCGGCTTTGTGGCGAAAATTCTCGCCCTATAGTAACGGCAAGCGTCACGGAAACCACAGCTACCACTTGAACCCCCGATATAGTTTCTTTCCCTAGAGTGAACTTACACATGTGCTGGCTACAAAGAGTTTCGAACACTGAGTGCTCTCAAAAAGAATATTGAGTAAATACTACCATATTGTGTGTGCTCGGTGGGAAGGATTCGTTTGTGGTTGTACTTTACAACCCACACAACTTCGTTCTACGATGTGATGTCAGGACGCGTTGAAAGTGCAAATATCGCGGGATCGCGAGCAAAAATCGAGCCCCACAATCGAGTGGGCAGATCGATTGGCGAAACATGAAGACCGGTACGTTGTAACGATCGCACCTGAGCTTTGTGGTGGATATCCCAGGGCCGAGATTACTGCCCTGCATGCTACTCACACCCAAAAAATATACGTCGTCCAACCCACCTGCGACACTCGCAGCCAGCAGGGCAACCACCCTGGCGATGTGATGTTTACAGATTTCGCCAAATGTGGACAATTTGGGCGACAACGATTCCTGGCTCTGCGAAATTTCAGAAAGTCGCAGGCATCAGAATCAATTGCGCCAGGTAGGCTCGGTTCGTTTACATCAATGACACTTTGATGCTTCTCACTGATCTCCCGCGATCAGTGATCAGTCGCATTCACACACTGTGCACAAATTTTGGCAAAAAAATCGCACTGTAGTAAGGTTACAGCACAGTAAATAGGGTTACAGATCCGCACACCGATCGCGACCCAAGATCGATCATCTACTTTTCAACGCGTCCTCAGGGGGCGACGAATGCTTTACGGCATGATAGAGTCCAGACCAGAGACTTGCATTGCGTCTTCATGAAGCAAGGCGCCTTATCTTTCAACCCCAGACCCTACTCATGCGTACGGAATCATCGTTTCGATGCGTGTGCTCGCTCGGATCACATCGAGCATCCGTCCCGTATTTAGGCTCAGACTCGCCACCAGTCGAAGCACGCTAGATTTAGCAGCACCGCCACTGACAGTAGCGGTAGTGCATGATTGCGATCCAGCAGCGAACGCTCTCGCGTTTCGTCTGAATTCGTTACGTCCGTCGTGCAGCATGCCTAGCAAGAAACGAGGCTCGCGCAAGCACAGGGAATCCCACCGAGACGAATCACCGCGCGGACGAGGAGAAGCGCGCAATGGCGACAGCGGCTTAACGAATGCGGAGGCGGGGGAAGGCGGAGTGTGCGGAAGCGCAAGCAGCGCTAGCAGCGCGAGCAGCGCAGGGTCGAAGACGCGGAAAGTGGCAGTGGCACGAATAGTGGCGGCGTTTTACCCAAAGTTCGAGAACGAATCTGCGGATGGCGAGGTGAATCCGTGAGGCTCTTGAGGAAAGCGACTCACAGAGAGGTGGAAAAAAGACTTAGTGGTGGGGAAACGGCCAGCCCTCACGTGCTCTGTTATGCGGACAACCATTGAGTCATAGCGCTGAATCCGATGCGCCTCCTTACCACCCTTCCCGTTCCGCCCTGATCCGTTTCCGCCCCAACCCCTTTCGCCCGGCTCCCGTCGCGCCAGGTCCGCGGGGAGATAGAGAGGCTTGTCGGCAATGGCGTTGGCGTTCTCGAGGTGAGCGCTCTCAGGCAATCTGCACCATTGATGCTGTCAAATTCATCTGCACCGTTGATGTTGACATCAAACTCATTCATTGCTGGAGGGTGAGCCATGCTTCCTTCCTTTGCCATCCAGCTTCTTCCTGAACAGCGAAATCCGTCGAATTCTGACTCGTTGCTTGCAGTATGCTCAACCCTTTCCCTCCCCTCTTTCTCTCCGCCCCTCATCCCCCTCACCCCTTCGAACCCCTCTTAAAACCCCATTCCCGGACAGGTTTCAGTGAAGCACAGCGGCTCTCTCTTTCTGTGGGCGGGGGCGAGGAGAGGCGCGTATGCTAAGAACTCCTACGGCAACGAGTGAGTGACGCGTCTTGATGTGTCTTATAATTAAGAAGAAATAGTGATTGGAAGCGTCTACACCATACCTCATCGTATTGCCTCACTGAATGCCAAGCCTGTCCCTCCTGTCCCACACACGTCCTCAGGTACTCTGCGGTGGGCCTGTGGGTACCGGGGGAGAGTTACTAGAATTGTCCATACCACATCGTATTGCCCACGCCCACTGGCTGCTATGCCTGTCCTTCCTGCCGTGCCTGTCTGTCCTGCCTTACCGCATGTCCTCAGGTACTCAGCAGTGGGCGTGTGGGTGCTGGGAGAAACTCTGCGCAACGCGTGGGGGGAGGGCGTGGTGCGGCAGAAGGAGAGGGAGCTGAGCGAGTACCTGGAGGTCAGTGGGTCCCGGGGGCAATGGGGGAGGCAGCGCAGTAAGTGGTTGCTGCATCTGTTCTCGACTCGCCTTACGAGTCACTTCGTGGGGGGAGGGCGTGGTGCGGCAGAAGCAGAGGGAGCTGAGCGAGTACCTGGAGGTCAGTCACTCACTTCACTGAGCTGGGGTTATGGCGGAGCCAGTGCCGGGAGCTGTCTCTGTATCTGTGTGCATGTGAAAGAAGGAGTGTTTTGAGACGTCTCAAAACACTCCTTCTTTCTGTGTGCATGTGCGTGCATGCGTGTCTCTGTGGCTGCATGTTTGCATGCATGGGTAATTAAATTGCTATGTGAAGTGCAGAAGAATTGAAACCATTCCAGCAGCAACCAACATCCCCCCCTTTACCTTCCCTCTCTTATGCACGCACACACACATGGCAGAGGCATCGCATGGCAGTGGGTATGGAGCTGGTCACGGCAGTGCTGGGAGACCACGGGCAGAGACCCCTGCAAGATTATGGTGAGTCCTCTGCGTGACCACGGCTCGACCCGACCATTGTGGGATTGTTTGCTTCCATGATTTGTTTTGGCTTGCATGCTGTCGCCTGGCCCTTGCCTGCCTTTTAACGTCGTCCTTCCCTTCTCTTGCATGCTCTCTCTCCCTCCGCCGCTACCCCGTGCTCGCATCCATACCCTCTCCCAGTGGAGGTGACACCAGTGACTGACATGGTTTTTGAGGTCCTTCAGAAAAGTGTTTTTGTTCACGGTTTCAACCATACACCCGTCTCTCCCTCCCTCCCCCATGCCCGCACCCATGCACACCTCCCTGCCAGTGGTGGTGACAGCAGTAACGGACATGGCAAGCCACCCCCCACGCTTCCTCTCCACCCCCGAGGTGCTGCGCTTCTGTCACACCTGGCGCCTGCCCTTCAACTCCTACTGGCTCTTCCACTCCACGTACGCTCCTCGCTCTTCTCATCTCTTCTCTTCTCTTCTTCTCCCATTCCTTGTCTTGTCTTCTCTCCTCCCTTGTCTTCTCTCCTCCCTTGTCTTCTCTCCTCCCTTGTCTTCTCTCCTCCCTTGTCTTCTCTCCTCCCTTGTCTTCTCTCCTCCCTTGTCTTCTCTCCTCCCTTGTCTTCTCTCCTCCCTTGTCTTCTCTCCTCCCAACCGCCTGTCTCCTCCCAACCGCCTGTCTCCTCGCACCAGTTGGCATTCTTCGTTTTGCAGCATATCCTGCCGTTTATCTCTTGCTTGCTCTTCCACCTCGAATACGCCCTCTTGTCTCTCTCCACTCGTCTCTCTCCACTCGTCTCTCTCCACTCGTCTCTCTCCACTCGTCTCTCTCCACTCGTCTTTCTCACCTGTCCTCTCTCCCCTGTCCTCTCTCCCCTGTCCTCTCTCCCCTGTCCTCTCTCCCCTGCCCTCTTCCCACCCTCCCTCTGAGCGCTGAGCGACGAGCAATCAAATGTGACCCCATCTCCCAGAATGTGCCACCCTACTTCCTTATTCCTTCTCGTTTTTCCCCCAGGCCTCTCCCCGCCTATTATTGCCACCAGGGAATCATGTGCACAGCTGTGTGCAGCGTACAACGCACTGAGCGAGGAGGGCATGGCCCACTCAGTCGAGGAAACTCTCAGCTGCCGCATGCAGCTCCCATTTCCTCCATACCCTCCCTCCCCCATCACCCTATGCCTAACCCCCTCCCCGCCTGTCACCAGGGAATCATGTGCAAAAAGGAGTGTTTTGAGACGTCTCAAAAAAGAAGGAGTGTTTTGAGACGTCTCAAAAAAGGAGTGTTTTGAGACGTCTCAAAAAAGAATGAGTGTTTTGAGACGTCTCAAAAAAGAAGGAGTGTTTTGAGACGTCTCAAAGCATGCAGCTCCCATTTCCTCCATACCCTCCCCCCCCATCACCCTATGCCTAACCCCCTCCCCGCCTGTCACCAGGGAATCATGTGCACAGCTGTTTGCAGCGTACAATGCACTGAGCGAGGAGGGCACGGCGCACACTGTTGAGGACACCCTCACCAGCATCGCAGACGTCACCATTGCAGGTCAGATGCTTCATCGCAGACTCACGCACACTCTGTTTTTGTTTCTGTTTCTGGCGCTCAGCCTCCCTTGGATTCCTGTGGGTCTCGCCTTCCTCTGCCATTTCCATCTCGATCCCATTCTTGGTAGAAAACTATAACCTTTTGTTTGCTCCGCTCTCCTCTCCCCCTACTATTGCCTCCCCTCAGGCACAGCATCGCATGGGAAGCTTCAGGGAAACATCATGGAGGGGCTGGTGGCGAGGCTGGTGAGCCCCAGGAGTTTGCAGCAAGTCAGCGAGCTTAAGGCGGTGCTGAGGGCTGGTGAGTGGTGACGTGCTTTTTTCTGACAAAGAGTTCAGACCACGTGGTTTTAGTGCGGTTGGTGGCGATGCTCGTTAACCCCGCCCCAGGAACCTGCAGCAAGAATTCAGACAGTTCAAGGCAGGGCTGCTGGGGGGTAGGTGGTGCAGAGGTGAAGGTTGAGGGATGGGGTTAAGGTGCGCGGGTGGTGAGGTGATTCTTTTCTTCGGGATGGCGCTTGGTTTTGGTGAGGCTGATGAACCCCAGGAGCCGGGAGCCTGCAGCAATCACCGCCGCCCTTCTTCGTATCGAATCAACTTCTCTCCCCTCTTCTCGTCTGTTTGTTTTCTCGTGGCCCCATGCTCTCCTGTCCCTTTCTTTGCGTCTCCTCTGCATCAGGCCCGGCGGCCAGCTATCCGGTGGGAGCAGGCACGCGACTGAGAGAGCTCTTCACTCAACACGACTCCATGCGCGAGGTCAGTGAGGCTGGGGCAATGCAGGGGGTGAGGCTGTGGAGGAGATGTGTGTGACTAGGGTGCATGAGAATAGAAGGGGGTGAGGGCAGATAGGAAGTGCGAATGGAGAGTGGGGGAGGTCAGAGGAGATGCAGTGGGGGAGGTCAGAGGAGATGCAGTGTTAGGAATGCGGTTCCTTTCCCCCATTTCAAAGGCAACAGATACTGCATTTTGTCAGTCGCTCCACAGCGCATCGCCCATCTGGTGGAGGAGGCAGGAGACGCCATGTGCAGCGAAGGGCACTTGGGGGAGGGCGTGGCGGGGGGTATGGGAGTAGAGGCGAGTCGACTTTTGAGTCGACTCAAAAGTCGACTTTTGAGTCGACTCAAAAGGGGGAGGGCGTGGCGGGGGGTATGGGAGTAGAGGCGAGGACCAAGTAGGGGACTATCTTAATGTACCTTATCAAATACACTCCCTTCACTTCCTTCCTCTCCCTCCCTCCCCCCAGCGCATCACCCATCTGGTGGAGGAGGCAGGAGACGCCATGTGCAGTGAAGGGCAGTGGGGGGAGGGCGTGGCGGGGGGGTATGGGAGTGGGGGAGAGGAAGAGGAAGGAGGCACTGTGGTGGAGGGGGAGGAAGGTGAGAGTGCGGGGAAGGCGAAGCAGAGGCGGAGGGAGCAGCAGGAGGAGGAGGAGGAGGAGGAGCGGCATGTGTCTGACTGGATGAACTCTCTGCTCAGCTGCACTGCTGCAGATGCAGAGTCAAGCAAACTGCAGGTCTGTGACTGTTGTGTCACACAGTTAGGCTTGCAGGGTGGTGGTCTGTTTTACAGGCACATCAAGAACAGGCTCGAAGGGTAGTGGTAGTGCCTTCGTCACATTGTTTTCCTCCTGCCCGTCTGTTTCCTTTTCCTCTTTTGCCCAAATCCCAACCCTTTCGACTCCATTGCTCCCCTGCCACTCCGTCTCAGGCCATGCTGCGAGCGGTGAGAGCCGAGAAGCTCAAAGTGAGGTTCAAGTCACACCCCTGGCCCCTCCCCACATCGCCCTCTCTCCTCGCCCCTGCCCCCTCCCCTGCCCCCTCCCCTTCCACCTCCTCCACCTCCACCACCACGTCATCCTCCTCTTCTGCTCCCTCCTCCTCCTCTTCCTCACACGAACCGACCTCAGCGCCCCTCTCTCACCATCTAATTACCGTTCACGCCTTCCAAGACGCAGCCTTCCGCAGATACCAGCAACTGATGCGGTGAGATGCAGTGATGTGGTTTGATGGTTGAAATTTCAAACCATCTTCTCTAAACCTGAAACCTTCAGAGTCCATTACTTGTCCACCAACGTGCTCCTATCCATCTTCTAGCTGTCCTGCACATCCTCCCCATCCCCTCTCCGCACTCTCACTCTCACTCTCACCCTCACCCTCTTGCCCGCCCTCACCCCTTTCCCTACTCTCACGCCCGCCCTCAACCACCCGCCACTGTCACACCTGCCATGCCTCCAGCAAGGACCCTAGTCTGTGGCCGCTCTACCGGGGGTTCTTCCTGGAAGCTGCGGTCGTGGAGATGGACAAGGGCACGGGGAAGCAGTTGGTAGCTGCAACGGCTGATGCCGCCGCTGCTGCTGGTAATGATGATGATGATGAAGTGCGAAGCGGGCGGAAGGAGAATGCCAAGGATCTGAGACAGGAGGAGAGTGTGGAGAGCAAGGGCAGGGAGGAGGAGGAGGAGGAGGGGGAGGAGGAGGGCGGGGATAGGAAGCAGGTGCCGCATGTGATGCTGAAGATGAAGTTCCTACCGTACAAGCTAAGGACGTTTCTAATACGCAATGGACTCGGCACGCTGCTGAAGAAAGGGCGCCATGAGTACATGGCGTATGCTACCAGGTGGGGGCCGGGGGTGAGGTGCTGGTGTCTGGTATGCATGTGCATGTGCCATGTGCATGTGCCATGTGCCATGTGCCATGTGCATGTGCCATGTGCCATGTGCCATGTGCATGCGCCATGTGCATGTGCATGTGCCATGTGCCATGTGCATGTGCCATGTGCCATGTGCATGGAGTGAGAGTACGCTGCTGAAGAAGGGGCACCATGAGTACATGGCGTATGCGACCAGGTGGGGGTGGGGGGACATTCATGGGGTGCATGTGGCAGGTGCATGGGTTGGGACCCCGCCTCGTGCTCCCCTCATCCCTCCACCGTTTTTTCCAAGATTACTATTATTATTACTACTTCAAGCTTGCACAGCAACCTGCCCCCTCCTCACTCTCCAGCTGGACACCTGCTCTCCTCTCCCCCCCATCCCCCCTATCTTCACTGGCGCTGTGTGTGTGGGAGCAGGCTGCTCAAGGTATGGGGCACGTCCCCTGCTGCCACTCACGAGATGACCGCGCTCTGCCGAGCATGGTGCGTGCACGGTGCAGTGCGGTGCAATCGAGTGTGATGCAGTGCGCAGAGCATGATGCGGAGTTTGCTTTGTTTTTTTTTGTCAAATTTCTAAAAAGTGGCGCAGCATGCCGAGTGTTGCGCGCTCGCATATGCCCTTACCTTTCTATGGCCTTCGCACCCCGCACTGGCTCTCCCTCCAACGTTGACTTTTGAGTCGACTCAAAAGGCCTTCGCACCCCGCACCGCACTGTCTCTCACTCCAACGTTCCCCTCAACCTTGCCCCTACACCAACTCCTCCGACTTCGCCCTTCCCCTGTGTCCAGTAAGCTGTCCACTGCCTTATACCTCCTCCTTCCTCACATCCCGCCTCCATTCCGCTCTCCTCCCCCTGTCCCTCCCAGGGCGGACTATGTGCTAGGTCCACCCTCGTCCCCCCACCCTCCCAAGTCCGTCTCATCCAACTCCTACCTCGACTATGCCGAATCCTTTCTTGCTGCCTACGCCAAGAGGGGCGCAGCACAGGCCAAGGCAGTGGGGGCCGCATGGGACGGGGAAGCAGGGGAAGGGAGTGAGGGGAAGAGAGGGGACGGGGGTGAGGGGATGCGGGGGGAGGAGAGTGGAGGGGAGGGAGGGGGAGCGGAGGGGAGGGGGAAGCAGGGCAAGGGGCTGCTGGTGTTCTTCCCGGGGATCCCTGGGTGTGCCAAATCCGCTCTCTCTGAAGCCCTTATGCAGATGATGGGTAGAGGCAGTGGGGCCGGTGGAGGCAGTGATTCAGCTGAGCAGGCATGGACTGGCAGGGAGGGCGAGTCGTCTGCGCAGGGAGCGAGAGACGGGGGGGATGCTTCAGCGGACCCTGTTGTAGGAGCAGAGGCAGGGGCGGTAGAGGAGGAGGATGGGTGGCAGGAGGTGACGAGAGGGAAGGGCAAGGGGAAGAAAGGTGGGAGAGGTGGCGGGGAGAAAGGACCGGGGGCAGGAGGGGGAGGTGGAGGAGAAAGGGGAGGAAGGAGAGGGGAGAGAGCGACAGGGGGTGAGGGAGGAAGCAAGGAGGGAGGGAAGGGAAGAGGGGAGGTGGAGGAGGGTGGAGGGCCGTTGGGGGATGGGAGGGAATGCTTGCACATTATGGGCGACAAGACAATCGGTGGGTGCATGGTTGCATGGAACATCATCGCACATCGTAACACATCTTCTCCCTTCCTTAGCCTCTGGCGTCCCCCCTTGTCTCTCCATGCCATACTCACGTCTGTCTTGCTTTCTGTCCCTCCCACCTCATCCCAACCCATCCCACTGCATCCCACCGTGTCCCACCGCATCCCACCGGTCTGTACTACGCAGGCAAGTACTGGAAGGTGTTGGGGGCGCGCATGAGGAAGGAGAGGGGGGCGAGGGTGAACGTGCTGGCGGATAAGAATGCGCCCAACGAGGACGTGTGGAACCAGGTGAGCCCCCTACGAGGACGTGTGGAACCAGGTGCGAGCTCTCTTGCTCCTGTGTTCTCATCCTCGCGTGCTCACTTGCTTTATGTGCTCGTGTGCTCACATGCTTTCGTGCTCATGTGCTCATGCTGCGAGCACTTTCTTACTACTTTTGACATCCAGATGGAGACCATTCGCGGCACAGGGCTGCCGGCATTTAAAACGTCTCACAACTGCATCAGCTCAGGATTTCCACTCTGTTGCTCTCACCCCATCCTGAAGCCCATGTTTGGCGGCCAGATAGAAGCCACCTGCCACGGCGCGGGACTGCTGGGCTTGGAGTCATGTCAAAACCGCATCAACTCAATTTACCCCCGTGTTTCTCACACTCCATCCCCCACCTCCGTGTGCCATGCAGATAGAAGCCATTTGCCACGACACAGGGCTGCTAGGCGCGCCTGTTGTGCCTGCCTCGCTCGGTAAGCTGTCTTTTGAGACGTCTCAAAGCCACGACACAGGGCCGATAGGCGTACCTGTTGTGCCTGCCTCGCTCGGTAAGCTGTCCTCCCGGGGAGGGTGATAGGGGGGTTTGAGGGAGGAAAGCATGGGTGTGGGCTGGTGGTGGCGGGGAGTGTGTGGAGGGAGGAGAGGTGGCGAATGAGGGGGGGCAGAGGGAGGTAGAGATTAACGCTGATGTATCCAGGGTTCTTGTTCCTCCCGTTTTGTGAGGTCTGTGTTTCTGGTTTCCTGAAGTCTGAAGCTTGCTGCAATGCAACCTTCCAGGGGATGCAAGCACTGTTGTCACTTGGCAGAGCCCTTTCCCGCACCCCACCCCCCTGCACCGCTCTGCACTGTCCAGGCACACTGCACAACGCTTTCGACTGGCGAGTGCTGGCCGTGTTTCTGTTCCGCGTGATTCAGCGCACCAACCACCCTGTGAGACCCCTTCTCCATACCAAACCTCCTCACAAGAACCTTTGTCTATGTCTGTTGTTCAGGCCTGTAGGCCATCAACTTAGATTCAACTCGACAGAGATTCCCATTCCACCTTGCTTTGAATCAGACCAAGGTGGGTCAGCATTTACAATTGCTCCCACTCCCACTCCTCACCACATCCGTCCCTCCTCCCCATTGTCACTCTCTTTGTTCCTCCTCCCCCATCCATCTCATCTCAGGGCGATTTGGATGCCAGCTCACCAGCTCCAGGGCAAGTGGTGCTCAACTTCCATTCGCTCTACGGCAGACATGTCAGTCCCACCCCGCCTTTGAGAAGAAAAGAAATAAAAAGCCAGCCGTGCCGCACTCCACCCCATGCGCCACCTCCTGTCCCTTGCCATGCCATGCCATGCCATGCCATGCCGTGCCTTGGAAGCTTTGTACTACGAAAATCTTGTCCGCCCACCCTGCCCCGACACCTCCTTGCGTTCACTTATCTCTCCACCTGTCCACCCACCTCCGCCCTTGACTGCTGCAGAACCGGGATGATTTTAAGGGGGAGGTGAAGCAGCGCTTGGCGTGCTTGTGACCATGTCATGCCAAACGAGCTTTGCATTGCGTGCTTTGTGTCATGCGCGTGCGTGTGACCCAACCCATGCATCCCCCGCCCTCGACTGCTGCAGAACCGGGAGGACTTTGAGGCGGAGCTGAAGCAGCGCTTTGGTGTGCTCGTGACCATGCCTGTTGTCAAACCTGACTCGTGAGTTTGTGTGTGCGTGTTTTCGTCCGTTTGATTCAATTAGTCACCATTTACTGACCCTGCAATCATGCAAACGCTTGCTCCCCCTCCCCTCTCCTCCTCCCCCACCAAACACACGCTCCACCACCACCCCCTTCCCCCAAAACCCATACACTCTTCTCTCCCTCTTATTTTCCCATCTCGTATTCCGGTTCCCTTCGTATTCCGGTTCCCTTCGTATTCCGGTTCCCTTCGTATTCCGGTTCCCTTCGTATTCCGGTTCCCTTCGTATTCCGCCCTTCGTAATTCTTCCCCTGTCTTTCTCGACGCCTCCACCAGCCCTCCACTACCAGACGAGATAGCTGGCGTCATCAAGTCAGGGCACAAGCTGCGGGAAACCATATGGAAGCGACATAAAAGGTGCGGTGTGGTTGTGAGGCAGGCCGCGTGTTTCTGATGTGTCTTAGCTTTTTTATCGAGATGGTGCTGACTTTCTCTTGCGCGTGCTCTCATACCACTGGTGTTCCCGACCTCTCCGCTCGTCTTCCCACACTTGCTATGCCTCACACTCCTTGCTCTCCTCTCCCTCACCACCGTCATCCCTCACATCTGTGCCCTTCGCATCCTCACCCGTCCCCCATGACGGTTGCAGCAAGGAGCCTCTGAAAACGCCAATGGCAGAGGAGGTGTTGGAGTGGGAGGGGGAGTTGAGAGCGGTGCTGCACAAGCATGCCCACTACCTCACATCCATCCAGCTGCCTCTTGACCAAGTGGTCGCTACAGTCCAAAACCAGCTCCACCAGATCGCTACAGGACAAATCCGGCCACTGGTCACCACCAAGACGAGCTTCCGCAGCATTCGCCTGGCAGCGGTGGTGATTGATCCCGCTGCTGATGTGGCACCGGGCGGCGCTGACGTGGCAACAAGTGGGCGACAGCTATTGCAGACGTTGGAAGAGCTGGCGAGATCTGATTCGTCGGTGGCAGAGTTCTGGAAAACGGCAGAAGGGCCTCTGAGAAAGAAACTGGACGTGGGTACCAGTGGTGCTGCTGTCGCTGCTGGTGGTGCTAGTGGCGCTGGTGGTGGTGGGGGGTTGGGGTGGCTGCATGTGACTCTGGCCCACAAGAAGGAGCAGGGCGTGCCGGCAGTGGTGGGGTATGCTCCCATGGAGGGGCGTGCAGTGACGGTGCTGGCAACGGCGCTGCTGTTTGATCAACATGTGGCTGCACTCGCCGTGGAGCTGAGGGAAGGGGAGGAGGGGGAGGCGGTTCGCTCGCTTAATCCGTTTGCGCACGTCACTGTAAGTAGTGTGGGCACCTGGGGTGTGTGGTTGTGTTTTTCTTTTGTTCCTTACCCACCAGTTCTCCTTTACCAATTTGATCACTACGATACGAGTCCCCTTTCTCACCCAGTACCATTTCTTTTTCTCAAACCCGTGCAAGCAGTTATGGCAGGCGGAAGGGGCAAAGGCCGTTCAATCGCTGGACCTGCCCAGTGCAGTAGAGCGAGGGGAGGCCACGCGTGTGGCCTTCCTTCAGCCAATACAGCTGATAGGAACAGTGAAATTGATATGAATAGCTCATCTGAGCAATAATTATTGGATGTTGAATCTATATATAAGCATATCGGAGGTGGCCATGGGAGTGTAGGAAAAATATGAGACGTGACTCGATACAGCAGCATTCCTAATTGCGAACACCCTAGAAGTGCTGAACTCTCACGAATAAAACACTTCCTTGCTCAGAGCCATTCACACCGTGTCGCGACTGCGCTTACTGCTATAACTCCTTCGCACGTCCCACTATTCTCGAGCGTTATTCCGTCGCGCCCTGCCCACAATCGCCAACAATCCCCGTCGAAGGCCTCCTGGTCGCGCCCCTTCCGCGCGCCCCCATCATTTCTTTGCTGCTGGCGAGGCCCAGACCTCTGCTGCTGCGCGCTTTCCGCCACGTTTTGCTTTGCTTCTCCTCGCGCTGAGCTTCCGCCTACTCTGAGCTTTCCCATTGCGCTTCCGCCTGCTCTGCGTGCCCCCGTGCTCCGCGCGCCCGCGGGCATGCAGGGAAATGAGGGCGCGGAGGGACCTTCCGGCGGAGGCGGGGGAGCCGGGCGGGCGAAGGGGAAGGCGGCGGCGGAGGAGTTGGGCGGGTCGAAGAAGAAGGCGGGAATCTTCCTGCGAGAATGTGAGCGGGTGGAGGATGGGGGAGAAGGAAGGGGGGGAAAGAAGGAAGGCGGAAGGGAGATTGAGCTTGCACGCTTCATGCATCTTTCCATGCACCGTCACTGTTCACCCCACACGCAGTTTCATTGAACGTACTAACTCCTTCATGCTGCTCCCATGTGCTCTCCCACGTGCTCCCACGTGCTCCCATGGCTCCTTGGTGCGTCCACCCATCCGAACCGCTCTGTGTTGCGTCGATGGTGCGGCAGTGCGGCTCATGATGTACGGCTTTGGAGATGATCCCGAGGTGAGCTCGTGTGTTGTTTGTGATGGTAATCCCGAGGTGAGCCATCTGAACCGCTCTGTGTTGTGTCGGTGGTGCGGCAGTGCGGCTCATGATGTACTGCTTTGGGGATGATCCCGAGGTGAGCCCTGGCTCTGTCGGTGATGGTAGTCCCGAGGTGAGCCCCTGCGCTGTCTGCTTTCACGTGGAGTTCGTGTGCTGTCAGTCATGGTAATCATTGCTCGAGGTGAGCTCATCTGCTGTCGGTGGTGGTGATCATTGCTCCTACACGCTTGTGGTATGCTTCTGAACCATCAACATCAGCATAAGCATCAGCATCAGCATCAGCATATCAGCATCAGCATATCAGCATCAGCATCAGCATCAGCATCAGCATATCAGCATCAGCATCAGCATCAGCATCAGCATCAGCATATCAGCATCAGCATCAGCATCGCCATCACCATGAGATGACCCACCACCCACAGCAGCCATTCTGAGAGGACACAGCCAGCAAGTATCGCCTCATCTCGCGCGCTCTCTCCCTTTCATTGCATGCTGCATTTCGTGAGCCATCAGCCCCTGCCAGAGTCAGTGGGGCTGGTGGGGGAGATGGTCACACACACCCTCGCACTCCCGCATCTCTCTCTAACCCCCCTCACCACAATCATTTACGTGCCCTCACGTGTCACACCAGCCCCTGGCGGAATCGGTGGAGCTAGTGGAGGAGATAGTGATCGAGTACATCACGGACGGTGCAACCCTCACACTCCTTGATCTCTATCTCTAACTCACTCTCTCAATGTGTTTCCCATCAGCCCCTACCCGAGTCAGTGGAGCTAGTGGAGGAGATAGTGATCGAGTACATCACTGACCTCGTGCATCGGGCTCAGGAGGTGGCAGCCAGGCGAGGCCGCCTCACCACAGAAGACGTGCTCTTCCTCATCCGCAAGGCCAGCTCCCTCACTTTTACCCTCCCTCTCTCACTCACTCACTCACTCACTCACTCACTCATTTACTCATTCACTCACACTCTCTCACTTTTCCAACAAAATTTCTCTCATCGGCTCTCTCATCCTGCCCTACTCATCCTCTCAAGCTCATCCGCTCTCAATCTCACACATCCTCTCTTGCACGTCCCCCCTCACTTGCTCTCCCTCTCCTCATTCATTGTCTCTGCTGCTTCCCCTCGCCACCACGTCTCAACGTGGGTTCTGTGCTGTGTGCTGTGTGCATGCCAATATATCTCCACTATGGCAGGACCCACGCAAGTTTGCAAGAGCCAGGGAGTTACTGGCAATGAACGTGGAGCTGAAAGAAGCAAGAAAGGCATTCCAAGAGGAGCAATAACCTCTTGTGCACACACTCGGTCACTTAACCGTTGTATTAGCAAGCAGAGGCTGTCTGCTGCAAAATAACACATATGACGATAAGTCAATGTCAGGCAATAAGGCTAACTACTCTGTAGAGTGGCGCTCCGGAGCTTCCTAGTTAGCAATGCATTTTTTTAATTATTCAGTACAGGTGCCCGCCTAGCCCCCGTGCAGTGTGGAGATGAAAGTGACTCTATCTCCATCCTCCACAGTAGATTCTAGGTTGCCCGTGAGCTCCCAATCCACATCGTTGATCAGCACTAGCACACCCGGTCGCCTGCACAGCAGAGAAGAGAGTAACCAGACGAGCATCGTAGCGGAGAGGCAGAGGGAGAGGCAGAGGGAGAGGCAGGGAGAGAGGGATGAGATGGGTGTGTAAGAGGGAGAGGATGCAAAGAGGCACCGTGGACTCTATATTGCCAGTGAGCTCCCAATCCACATCGTTCATCAGCACTAGCACACCTGGTCGCCTGCACAGCAGAGGGTAACCAAACACGGATGGTGAGGAAGAGGCAGACATGAGGGACGAGATGGATGTGTATGGTAAAAGGGAGAGGTTCCCAAGGGCCGCCGTGGACTCAAGATTCTAGATTGCCTGTGAGTGCTTGTGCTGCAGCACACAGACAGTGGCACACAGGCAGTGCTTGTGCTGCAGCACACAGACAGTGTGGCACACAGGCAGTGCTTGTGCTGCAGCACACAGACAGTGTGGCACACAGGCAGTGCTTGTGCTGCAGCACACAGACAGTGTGGCACACAGGCAGTGCTTGTGCTGCAGCACACAGACAGTGTGGCACACAGGCAGTGCTTGTGCTGTGAGCGGAGTGTGTGACTCACACGGTGGGCCCCTTGAGAAACATCTCTGGTCGCTCCTTGAGCATGTGCACTCGCATCCACGCCAGCAGCGGCGCCATGGATAGCTGTTGTGAGGGTGAGAGGTTGGGTGGAAAGGGGGGTTGGGGGTGTGTGCTCTCGCATTTATGTCAGCAGCGGCGCCATGCATAGCTGTTGTGAGGGTGGGGGATAGGGGGAGTGAGGAAGGTGCGGAGGGAAGGAGCGAGGCATTCTTGGATTGGAATGATACTGAAGGTGGTAGTCCTTGCGTGAATGCATGTGAGTGTGCGTTCGGACTACTGATTGTGAGAGATGTGCATGCACTTCTGAACTGATAATGCATGCGGATGTGAGTGCGCTAGCTACACCCCACCTGACCATCCTCCCCCGTTACAGTCACATCCACGCTCTGCTTCTTCTCTCCGCCGAACAGCAGCTCCAAGCCTCCGCTGCGGGATGGGGGAACGGGAGAAGCGGGGAGAATGGAGGAACGCGGGGATAATGAGCGACGCGCGGAGGCGGGGGAACGCGGGGAGAAAGGGGAACGCGGAAATGTGAGACGGGGCAAGTCAGGGGAGCGGAAGAGGAGATGGAGGATGCGCAGCGAGCCAACGACAGAACGACGTGTCCGCCTTACACGGTGAGCGGGAAACCTGGCGGGACATGCGGCGACCCACCTGAACTCGATCTGCAACCGCACCATGCGGGCAGCCCTTGCCGCACCGCCACTGGATTAACGCGTCCCCCGCGCCGCGTCCGAGAAATCTACTCCGAGACTACAGCGCACGTTTCAGCCTGTTCTGCCTGAGTGCTCGAGTCGCGTTCCGAGGCGCTCTGTTCGTTGGAGGACGGCGCGACTCTCTATCAGGGTTTGAAGCAACGGTTAGTATCGATTAGATTTCCCGTATCTAGTCCTCGCCAGTGGCAGTAGCGCGTAGTGCCACGTCAGACGCGACGGAAAATAAAGCCTGTTGATTGTCGAATGGGGAGGTAGGCGCTTTGGTGGATTGGATTGAAGGACAGGGCTTGAGAGTTCGGAACAGCTTTTTGGTAGCACCGAGACAGTTTCGGTGTATGAGGCAAATAAATTCACCACGAAGAAGTTAATAGCGAATCAAGAAGCACTCTCAATTCGCCCCGTCGGGACTCGGAATCTCACCAGACCAAATTTCTTCACTTGAGCCCAACCCTGTCTCCGCTGTTACTAATGCTACTGCTCAGCACAGCATCGGAACATGCGTCTCGTCACTCCCGTCCTGTCATTCTCGACGGTGAAAGATTCGCGATAGCTCGCACTCGCGGGCCCGTGCCTGCTCGCAGGGCAGCTTGTGAGTCGCATCGAAAGTTACCCCGTGCCTGCTCGCGAAGCGCGGAAATGATTTGTTTCGAAGCGTGTCCGACACAGCCCTGTAACCGCCGCGTTCGTCCCTTGGCCAGTGCAATCGAGTCGCCACTATTTCGCAAACATCGTCGCCCTGGAACCGTTGCCTAAAATCGTTGCCCGGTGAACCGTCGCCGTCGCACACCATGTCGCACGGTCTGTGCGCCTGCCTCCTCCCTCTGTCCGTGCGCCCGCACTCTCAAGCCCTTCCCCCAGCGCCCAACCTCTGCGGTTTGCGCCCGCTGACTCCGCCCACCGCCTTGCGGAGGCGGGATCTGGGGGGACTCGGCGGAGATTCCCCCAATCTGCCGTTCGCGGGGGAAGAATCCGGCGGAGCGGGGCTTTTGGCAGCGCGCGGGGCGTTTTTGCGCGGGAGGGTTGCGCGGAGAGGGCCCGCCCCCGCGCGATCGCTGGGCGCGCGGGGGAGCGGGGGGGTGCACGGGGGAATGCGCAGGCGGAAACGACGAGTGTGGACCCGGCGTGGGGAAGAGGAGGAGGCGGAGAAGGGGAGGGGCGGAGGCGGAAGCGATACGGATGCGAATGATTTGGGTGGGGTGTACTTGCGGAGAGGTGTGGGAAGGGGGAAGGAGGGGGGAGAGAGAGAGAAAGGGAAAGGAGAACGGGAGAGAGGGGAAGTAGTGGAGGGAAAGAGGGGTGGCATGGGGGGTGCGGGTGGAGGGAGGGATGGAAAAGAGAGCGAGAAGGAGAGGAGTGATAGTAAGGAGGAGGGCGCAAGGGTATCTAGAAATGGGTTGGCTGGATCAAAGGGGACGGCGAATCCGAGAGGGGAGAGACGGAACGGAATGGCGGGAGGGGGGAATCAGAGGGAGAGAGTAAGAGAGGGAGTCGAGGGATTAGAGATTTCTGAGGCGGTTGGGATGAGGGGCGAAGGCAGAGGAACGAGAGGGGTGAGAGGGGCAACAGGTGCAACAGTCACAACAGATGCAAGAGGGACAGGGGAGGAAGCAGAGGGAGTGAGGGGGGGTGCTGGGAGGAGTGTGGAGGGCGGGGCAGGGGAGGTGGTGGGTGCTGTTGCAGGCACTGTTGTTGAAGCTGTGATGGGCGTTACTGGTACTGTCAAGGATGTGACGGAATCAGTGACAGAATCCGTCTTGGATACAGTGACAGACATGACTGAGACAGTGAAAGACGTGAAGGATAGCGTGGAGGAGACTATAAAGGGTACGGTGCGGGAAGTGGCAGAAACAGTAAAGGACGCAGTAGAAGGCACTGTAAAAGATGTGACAAAATCGGTCATAAAGGAAAAGGAAGAGGAGGAGGAAGACATGAGTCCCATGCGAATGCTGCTAGGAGCGAGTGAGGAGAGAGGGAGAAAGGCACAATCCCAACTAGGAATAATCCAGCACCGTCCCTCCATAGTCTCTCTCCTCTACAACCTCTATTCACACATGCTCAAACAGCCGCCTCTTGTCTTCTCTCTTGCTGTCTGCTCCGCCCCGCTCCTCCTCTCCCTGCTCTTCACCTTGCTCTACCTCCCGGACCTGGATGGCTTGGTGGTGGAGGAGACGCTCCTAACCTACCTCCAAACCTCCGTCGCAGCTTCGGCAGCCAGTGCTCTGGAGGACGAGTCCTTCTTTGCAGGTCCGGCAATGGCTATGGCTCGGGGCATGGGATCAGCTGTGGAGCCGGCAGGAGCGGCAGCAGCAGCAGCAGCAGCAGAAGCAGGTTCGTCTGCACTTACAACGCTGGGAGCAGCAGCAGCAGAAGCAGCATGGTCGTCTGGAGCAACAGCAGTGGAAGGAGCAAGAGCAGCAGGAGCAGCAGCAGGAGGGGGGGGAGGAGGGGGAGCGGTTGTTACAGGGCTGGCAAGCACAGGAGCATTCAGAGCTCCAGCCACAGCAGCAGCAGCGGCAGCAGCAGCAAAGGAAGCAGCATCAGGCGGCCTATTCAACGTCGTCGACGGCTCTCAAACCCTCGGCGACGCCGTGCGTGCTCTCGAGCAATCCAACATCTTCCGCCTGGGTCCCGCCGGGATCATCCCAGGGGGATGCGCGTGGGGGATTTTCCAAGTGCTCATGTTCTCGCTCTCGCTCTCCACAGGGCTAGAACCGGCTCTAGCACCGGCGTCGCCATACGCGCTCGTGGTTGCGAATGTGAATGCTCTAGTGGCTCAGCTGCTGTTTGTGTTTCTCAGTGGAGCGGTTTTCGCGAGGCTCACCCATCCGGTGGATCCGATTTTGTGCTCCAAAATCGCCTGCATCACCCCTCCCTTACAGCAGCCACAGCAGCAACAGCAGGGTGTGAACGTGCTTGGAGGTGCAGCTGGGGGATCGGGGCAGTCCCCGCCGGTTCGCTACCCTCCTGCTGCCCGTTCACTCTCCCGCAGCATCAGCAGTGCCAACTTTGGAGGCAGCGCAGCCTTCGCCGCCTCAAGTAGTTTCCCAGCTGCTGCTGGTACTGCAGTGGCAGGAGGAGGAGGAGCAGAAGGAGGCGGGTTTGGCACGGGTGGTGGTGGGATGGGGGGCGGGAGGGGGTGTGAGCGCATGCTGCTGGTGCGGTATGTGCTGGCGGGGCCACAGCCGTGTGAGCTGGTGGATGTGAAGGTGGAGCTCACTCTCAAGCACAACACCCTCTCCTGCACCGGCCGTTTCTTTCGCCAAGTGGATCACCTTAAGCTGGTAAGCATTGTGGTGCTGCTGCATGAAGGTTGAATAAAGGTGTGAGCTGGTGGATGTGAAGGTGCAGCTCACTCTCAAGCACAACACCCTCTCCTGTACTGGCCGGTTCTTCCGGCAAGTCGACCACCTAAAGCTGGTACGGATGGTTGTTGGTGCATGATGGTTGAATGAAGGTATGAGCTGGTGGATGTGAAGGTGGGGATCACTCAAATGTATGGCAGTGCTTGTTCCTTCAATTTGAGAGTCTTCAGTCATGTTGCCGCTGCCAGCTGCTACCCCATCCACATGAAGGTGTGATGTGCGAGCATGGTGATGTGATTTTCACAGTGCTGCTGGTTGATCATGCTGTCACCTGCTACCCTTCCCTGCCATTCCACCCACCACCAGGTGCGGTCAGAGGACTCATACCAGCGCTACGGCATGACAGTTCGGCACCTGATTGACGAGTCCAGTCCGTTGTACGGCCGGTCTCGAGATGACCTCTGCCTCGTCAACGCCCAGCTCAGCCTCGCTGTCGTGAGTCAAGCACAGTCCACAGATGTCAATGGAATCTGTAGTGAGGTATTTTGTGCTCCTAATGGCCTCCTCTTGTTGGAAGATCTTGTTTTGCTCCCTCTCCTTTGCTCAACAAGCCCCATCGCATCCTTTTCTACCTAAATCCCTGTTAAACCCGAAACCCTGACCCATTCTTGCCTTGCCTTGCATGCACCCATTTGTCTCGTGTCTGTCGCACCCCCTTGTTTCCTTGAGTGCAGATTGGCATGGAGCGCGCGTCCATGCAGCCAGTGTTCCATGTGGAGGACTACTTTGTAGCAGACGAAGACGTCATATGGAATGCAGATTTTGAGGATATGGTGTACCGCGATGACAAGAATAGACTTCTAGTGGACCACAGGAAGATCAGCAACTGGGTAGGGATTGAACTCTGAACGAAGCAGCCTGTACAGGGAGCATGACTAAGGTACTGTTTGAAGGGCAAGCTGACATGATGGCACATTGCCATGCCCTGCAATCCCCACGAAGTTGTGGGGTTGTTTTTGCTGTATCAGGTAGAGTAGAGGCATGTCTGTCAGCACAGCACTCATGTCCAAACTCCTGCCACTGTGTTTCTATTTGTAAGCCAATGGAGAGATGCCCAGTCTCAGTTCCTACCTCATGTGTCAAGGAGGCTGTCCTCTTGTTCAGTCAGCTGCATGGCGAAGTGACCATTCTTGAGTCTCCCATGCAGTACCTTTGGAATGCCCGGAGCTGTATGGGCGGAAGAGGTTACACGAACGTTCATGACTTCGGGGGCAGGCCGCAACCAGCAGATCACAGACGCTCAAGGGCAAAGGTCACAGAAGCTTTACAATTGCACAGGGAAAAATGTGCAAATTAGTCACACTATCCATTGTGAAATATCACATAAATAACCCCACCTAAGATCCCAGGTTCCCAATCCTAGCTTAGGGCTGGAAGTTGCTGTCCAAGAAGCCGTTCTCGACCAAAACCTGCTCCCTCTTAGCCTTGTCCAAATCCGAGTCAACCATCATCGCCACCAGCTTCTTGAAGTCCACCTCAGGCTTCCACCCAAGCTTTTCCCGGGCCTTAGCCGAGGACCCGCGCAGGTTGTCCACCTCGGACGGGCGGAAGTAGCGGGGGTCAATCTCGACGTACTCCTTCCAGTCCAGGTCAACGTAGCCAAAGGCTGCGATCAGGAATTGCTCCACAGTGAATGACTCCTCAGTGGCCAGCACGTAGTCATCGGGCTGCTCCTGCTGGAGCATCAGCCACATTCCCTGTAAAATCAGCAAGGAATTCATCAGCCAGGACACTTTTCGTTAGGTGCTGTTCACTTAACTATGCGATCTCAGTTATTTTATGTTATGTAAGGGAAGAAACCGGTGTAATAAAGAAAAAAACGGGAATGGAGGAAGAGGAAGCAGTTCCGACAAATGGTTTAATCGCAAACAGGTTCTTTAATCGCAACGGGAAGGGTAAGGGATATAGAATGAACAGTTGTCTTACCTTGACGTAGTCGCCGGCAAAACCCCAATCACGGGAAGCCTTCAGGTTGCCAAGGTACAGCTTCTTTTGAAGCCCAACCTTGATGCGACCAACAGCGCGGGTGATCTTCCTCGTCACGAAGTTCTCACCACGCCTCGGGCTCTCGTGGTTAAAGAGAATACCGTTGCAGGCGAACATGCCGTAAGCCTCGCGATAGTTCACGGTGTACCAGTGAGCAGCCACCTTGGACACGGCATAAGGCGACCGGGGGTGGAAGAGAGTCTTCTCGTCTTGAGGAGGGGGGGTAGCGCCGAACATTTCTGAAGATCCAGCCTGGTAGTACTTAACGGTGCGTCCGGAGTTCTCAATGTGGTTGCGGACAGCCTCGAGCAACCGAAGCGCTCCCGTACCGACGACATCGGCGGTGTACTCGGGGTTCTCGAAGGAGACACCGACGTGGGACTGAGCACCGAGGTTGAAGACCTCATCTGGCTTAATCTGGTCAATCCAGTGACGAAGAGCGGTAGCGTCGGACAAGTCACCGTAGTGAAGCTTCAGCTTAGCCGAAGACACGTGAGGATCACGGTAGATGTGGTCGAGACGCTGGGTGTTGAAGTTGGAAGAACGACGGATGATACCGTGGACCTCGTAGCCCTTGGAGAGCAGAAATTCTGTCAAGTAAGATCCATCTTGGCCAGTAATACCGGTGATGAAAGCCTTCTTGACAGGAGCTTCGGAAGCCATGGCTGAACACGGGAAAGTCAGTCAGATGCGGATATTACTACCAAGAAATTGCAAATGAGATGCTCACAGATGTTGGAACTTCGCTAAAAATGCCTTCAGAAATTGCTGGTTTCTGAAGGTAAGAAATTGTGAGAGTCTGATGGATCACTCTCCGATTATTATGCAGTGAGGGTTGCAGGTTCGACAATGGTGGTTGGTGGGAATCCAGGTTCGGAATCTCTACCAAACTCCGTCCTCGTGGCAATAGCAGGAACCTCATGTGGTTCGGATCTCCACCAACCAGGCAACGAATGTCTCCCCGTGTCGTCGGAGTGCTGTCACGGTAAGGACGAAGTGGCGTCGCTGATTGGACATCTGCTGCTGGTCAGGTGCGCTCCAGTGCCAGGTGGGTTTGTCGATGGTTATCAAATGTCGCAGGTGATGTGGTTTTCGTCATGAAAAATCATCGCCAAAATAGGTCTGGTAACGGTGCGGTCTGGTTACTTCACGACGAATAACGCGGACGGATAAACAATACACACTGAATCGAAAAATATCAGTACATATTTTTTTCAGCCATTTGATATTTATGCTGCAACACCAAGCCTTTCCTGTTCACACCAGATGTGCCAACTGAGAGCAAGTAAGTGGTCATTGGGCAACATTTTTTATGCTGCTTCGGTATTCACAGCAGTGTGACCGCTTATGTCAATGGTTTTGTTTGGAGGTAAGAAATGATACCAGCATGCGTGCACTCTCTGTTTGCTGTGCCATCAGAATCCATCCGGCGGAATTATCGCAGGGATACCGGTATCTTATGGTATGGGCAGGCTTGCACACGTCAATTACAGTAACTAACATCTGGGGCAAGCCCTGCCCAATAACTTGTACTGTCAAACAGAGTACAGTACTAACGTCATCCCTAGGGATTATCACAAACCACACTCGCAAATCTCCATGAAACCCATACCCCCCACGCGCAGCACACCCCTTTACCGACTCACTGCCGCCGCAGCAGCAGCGGTGGCAGCAGCATCAGCAATAGCCTCCTTGCTCCCAGCAACATAATAATCCTGCAGGGCCTTCATCTCGATCGGCGACTCAATCAACCCGCGGATGGCCTTGACGGTGGCACGAGCAGAGGCCATGGTGGTGATGATGGGCACCTTCTTGCCCAGCGCTGTGCGGCGCAGCAGCCGCCCGTCCTTCTGGTCCAGTGCATCGCCCGCTGAGGTGATCACCAGCAGCTGGATCTGCCCGTTGGACACCAGATCGCCTGGTGGGGGGGAGGAAAACAAGGGAGAGGATTGCATTGCTCAGTGATGAGGGCATATGGAGGGGTGAGGGCAAATGGAGTCAAAGGAACAATCGAGACCACGATGAGAAGAGTGCAGAACCAAGACTCGCGCCCATCTCACGCATACCTGATGCACACTTCACTCACAGATCTCAGGGCACACATGCATGCAAGGCACTCACCAGCGTGGGGGCGGCCCTCGTGCAGCTTGAGAACTCTCTCCACCTCGATGCCCGCATCCTCCAGCACATTGGCCGTGCCCTCAGTGGCCAGTATCTTGAACCCCAGATCCACAAAGCTCTTCGCCACCTCCACGCCGCTCTCCTTGGTCAGATCGTTCAGGCTCACAAACACCGACCCGCCAGTTGGCAGCCGCTGATTCGCCGCCACCTGCGCCTTCAAAAACGCCTTCTCAAAAGTCGCATCCAGCCCCATAACCTCTCCAGTGGACCGCATCTCGGGCCCCAGCAGCACGTCACAGCCGGGGAACTTGTCAAAGGGCAGCACGGCTTCCTTGACGGACACGTGGTTGGGGATCACCTCCTTGTCGAAGCCCAGCTCTTGCAGGGTCTTCCCCGCCATGACGAGCGAGGCGTACTTGGCGAGCGGGTGGCCAATGGCCTTGGCCACGAAGGGCACGGTGCGGGAGGCGCGGGGGTTGGCCTCAATGATGTAGACCTCGCCTGTTGGCATCACTGCGTACTGACAGTTCATCAGCCCCACCACGTTCAGCCTGTGGGACAGGGGGTGAGTGGGGGGAGGGAGGGGTTGAGAGCAGGTGGTGGCATGTGCATGGTGCGAGGGTTGACTTGGACTATGTTGAGAATTCTAAAAAAAGCGTGGTGTGTGCGCCAACGCCTGACAGACATCACAAGGCCGCCCCATGACAGGCAGGTGCGTTTCGACTGCTGAGTTGGCTCACAAGTGACCAGTCCAAGTGACCAGTCACTGCCCTGTCCCATTCCATGGCAACCAACTCACTTGCGAGCAAGGCGGGTGGTCCAGTCGCGGATGGTGGCTAGAGCATCCTCTGAGATGGTCTGAGTGGGTAGGGAGCACGCAGAGTCGCCCGAGTGCACGCCTGCCTGCTCGATGTGCTCCATGATGCCGCCTATCGTCACTGCACCCGTGCTGTCCGCCAAGCAGTCCACATCCAACTCTGTGGCGTTCTGAAAGATGCAAGGGCGGGGGTATGGGGGAGGGAGAGAGGGGTGCGGGATGAGGAGTGCACGCCCGCCTGATCGATGTGCTCCATGATGCCGCCTATGGTCACTGCACCCGTGCTGTCCGCCAGGCAGTCCACATCCAACTCCGTGGCGTTCTGGAAAATCAGGTTGTATAAGGAGGGGGGGAATGGAGGGTTGAGTCATGGGGCTACACGGATGAGGGGGAGCACCCATCATCCCAGAACCACCACCAGCCATAGACTCATCATCTCATGCAACCATCACACCACTCACCGCGAGGTATTTGTCAACCAGCACGGGGCGTTCAGAGTCCACCTCGACAGCCGTCACCAGACACTTGTGCAGCACCGCGTCGTTATACACTACCACCAAGCCTACCACCACCAACCCCACCAGCACCAGATTATGCAAGCACCCTCCCACTCACCGCAAGGTACTTGTCAACGAGAACGGGCCTCTCAGGGTCCACCTCAACAGCCGTGACCAGGTACTTCTGCAGCGCCGCGTCGTTATACACAATCTCCATGGCCCGCCCTCCCAGCACATACGACGGCCGCACCACCACGGGATACCCCACGCGCTTCGCCACCGCCAGCGCATCCTCCTCGCTGCGTGCAATCCCCCCGGGCGGCTGGTTGATCCCCAGCTCGTTCAGCATCGCCTCAAACCGCTTCCTATCCTCCGCCGCGTCAATCGAATCTGGAGACGTCCCCCAGATGCGCACCGGGCCGGCCCC